GAAATATTCTTTGTATTAGTACATATTCCCGAAATAGTTGATCTACCTGGGTGATTTTGCTTATGCACTTTCATTAGCATATAGAACTGTCCTGGTCTCGGATCTTCCTGAATGAGATACGTAGAAATGTTTTTCTCTATTTTCTTATTATCTACTAGGTATCTTAATTGGTTTTTTATTGTCTCTCGAAACTTAAGTGTTGGATCATAATCTAGTTTTTTATAGAACTTAGTTCTATAAAAACTAGTTGTTTTATAGAACTATAAAACAACTAGTTGTTTTATAGTTGTTTAATTGCTTCCGATACATAGTCGGCTGTGTTAACTATGCATATACCTCCCCCTTTGTCAGCTTGGGCTATTATGATATCTCTGTTATCCGTGAGATTTTTTAAGCATTGTCTATCCTTATAAGTTAAATTATTATTAAGTGGTCTGTCTTTTTTATACGCTGATAAAACATCTTTCTGGACCGCCTCTATGTATTTTATGGCATTAACATTTTGTTTATTCAACGGCGGAATCCAATAGGATTTGTGTTTATATAAAGGCTCTTGATAAGGAGCTCCTTTGAAAAAAACTTTACAGTGCGATTGCCGTGCAAATTCATTTAAACCTTTGTGCAAGTCCAAATCATCACTATTGTTGCGAGGAGTGGGGCAAAACTTTAATCCCTTTTTGAGAACGATCCTTCGTGTTTAGAAATTACATGGGAAGAATAGTTGAATATTTCGGACTTTTCTCCACCCAAATCTGTACAATGTTCTGAGTTACATGTATTAGTATGCTCTGTTCCATTAATTAGGCGTGAAAAGAAGTTTTTCCATTTTTCTATCGGAGGCCAGAAAAAATCCAAGAGTACATTATCTCTAGACTCTAAGTGCCTTACGTCGTTTAGAATTATTACTTCTCGCTCCTTTTTATGTATGTAATGCTGCAATTCTTTTAATATTATTAAAGGTAAATCAGGGGAAGTTTTTAAAATAATATCGATCTGAGACTCTAAAGCGCGAATATGTTCCATTGACTGCTGTATGGCAATGTCCAGTAAAGACATGGTAAAATTAAAAATAGCGCAATCCCATGTTTGTACATTTACATGGGATAACTGTATGGTTGGAGCTGTATATGTGTTATAAAAACCTAACGGAATCTTTTTTTGTGTGCGGCAGTTTTGCAAAAAAAACGTTTATGGGATTCAAATCGAATTAATTTATCGAAACCAACGCGAAGATAAAAAAGGGTTGGAGAAAAGCCTGTGGGAGTCAATTTGAATCCGACGAACGTCGGCGTTTACTTTGTGGAGCGCGTCGAAAACAACCCGCTAAGGAATTTCTATTACGTGCGGAGTCATCCCTCGCACTTTGCCGTGAAAGCTGCGGGAATGACTCCGGCAACGATAATAGAACAGAATCTGAAGGCGTGCCCAAAGAAAGAGGAACACCCTCTGAAACCTGCCCACTATGTACCCTCCTCCCTCGGGCAACATCTTCAAATTCAGGGGACCTAGGTGTAAAGGGACACTTGCAGAGCAATTGTGGGTAACTAAAAAATCTTTGAAATGGTTGGCCAATTCAGCTATACCCTCCCTACATAGGTGTAACCCATCAAAAGACAAAAAACGATGAGGGGTCTCAAAAAAAGAACGGTGATTTAAGAATACTACATTTTCGTAAATAAAAGAGAACTCCCTCAGGAAAAAAGTTTAATTCAAAAATTTTTTCGTTAATCCATCGTAGGTAGCTTGGTCCACGGGGCCTAAAATTATCCTCCAACCGGGGAGGAACGCTAGAGATAATTATAGTCACGTCCGGTCGTTTTTGCCGAATGTGTAAAATAAGATTATTAAATAAAATGGTGCACTGGAAAGGCGCTAAACGGCAAATATCATTTGACCCGATTTGTAAAAAAATGGAATTGACGTGACGGGAAAGACTGTCTACGATAGAAAAAAAAAAAAAAAAAAATATATATATATATATATATATATATATATTTATATATATATATATATAAATATATATTTATATATATATATATATATATATATATATATATATATATATATATATATATATATATATATATATATATATATATATATATATTTTTTTTTATCGTAATTACTTTAGAGTGATATGGCACTGGGGAGGCATCAGCTGCTCGAAGACGATCATTCTGACGTGAAGCAGTATTCATTTCCTGCTTCCCCATAGGCACACACACAAAGCGCACACTGACGTTTATCTGCTTTGAATGCAGGATGGGGAAGCGAAGCTGCGTGCAGAAAACCTCTTACACAACACTTACATTTATTTTATGTTAACTTCCATGGCTGTGGTAAACTATCATATTTATTCACATATCGGTCTTCTCTTTCTCTTCAGGATTTTTTTTTTCTTTTTTAAGAAAGGGTTGATTAAAATTTATAGCTAAGTTTTCCGACATTGAGCTAACCCAGATGCTCCCCTACGCTATGTTGGGAAGTGCTTTAAGGACATTGTAAAGTACTACCTCAAGTAGGTTTAGGAAACTTCTACTTTACTAGAAGCACATTCTCTGAGTATGAACTTGTACTTCAGTATTTTTTCTGGTACTTTCCAAGGGAAGTTCAACTCCCGACATCATACATTCCACAAATTTGTCCCGTTAAATTTGTAACACAAAATTGTAATTTGTCAACAAATAAGTGCCTTACAAGTTGATTGTGTTAAAGTTTGTCAGCGAGAGTAAAACAACTACTCTGTAGCCACTTAAATTCATCAATATTAGCCACTGTTTCCGAAAATAACTAATGCATCCCCAATGGACCTTTTTCCAGTAAGCGTCTGCGCACGCGCACACCCTTTCCACTTGACCTTGACCGCCCTTTCGACATTTTTGGGGGGCACTGTTTTCTTGCGACACTAATCTGTTCCTATGGGAGAAGGCGAGTCCGGTTGCCCTCCATTTGTAGTAGGCGGCGAAACCGTCATGGGGCACTCCTTACTGGAAAAAGGTCCATTGCCCCTGGTGCAAAGCATGGCAGTTAAAAAAAAAAAAAGTACTGGAATGAAAAGGCACCATGAAAGAGTGTCTTAAAATGTGATACTAGTACTTTACTTTGAAAGAACATTGTATCTATAGCACTTTTCAAGTACATTGCACCTGGTGTACTTATTACTTTACTTGAAGTATATATAACCTCTCATTTCCTTTGCACTTCCTTTCCTCAACACTGCCCTTGCATCACCACTGCTCCTAGCACACCGCTCTGAAGTGGAGAAGCCCGATGTTCACGCCGGTAGGATGCATGCCATGAGCACATGTAGCACAAGTGCCGTGGTGTGGATTGTGGTTGACACATTAATCGTATCATTCGGTGAAGTCTAAGTTACGGGCGCTCGTGTGCTCGTGTACCCCAAATGTTGATCAAAGACATGCACATGCACTGTTCACTTCTGAAATGCCACAGAAAAACCACATACCACCACTACCCCACTTCCTCGAGGCTGGGATGCACTCAATCTTGTCACTGAGGCAGCAATCAATTATTCTGTTGACTGCTCGAAACATTGCTACGATGGCGGCATCATGTCATCCTCCAGAATGTCTAGATGTTCAGACGACGTTGCCAGTGTGGTTGACATGGCGAGCGAATTGTAGCCGGCGCGACTAGGAACGCTGCAAAATAAATGCTTGTGCGAGTACGAACTTCTTAAAAGTGTGATCTCTCCTTCCTTACAACACTAGATCTGCTGATTTGCAACAGCTCTAAGCTCCCTGTAAAATTAAACTAGCGGGACCAGGGTAACCAAGCACAACAGAAGCGCACAGCGTGGAAGGAGATGAAAAGATTAATGGAAGTTGCAAAAGCCTGGATCCCTTTCAAGCCTAGTCCAAAGTGGTGCCAACTCTGGCACGAAGCACTGTGCAGGTGCAGCGGGAAAGAACTGGGATTGGGCGGCCCAATGCGTCGTGTTGGCCGGGTCAGGTGGCAGCTTTTGGAGGTGACAATCGGGAAGGGGAACGGGACAGGCGGAAAATTAATGCAGACATCCCAATGCGAGTTCATCTGGACCGGCACTGGTGAATGCAAGAGCCAAGAAAACATAACAATGAGGTTCTATTGCATTCTTACCAGGGTAGAGAATAAAAAGCAACTGAAATCGCCATTTAAATTACCATTTAAATCTGATGTTTTGTTACGAGAATTTAAATCAACCTTTCCCGCAAATAAACAACAAAATCACAAAAATATATATTTTTTATTTATTGTTTGACTATTTAATGCTTTCTTTGCGCATTTGTTTCGTATTTAAATCAAAGAATCGTCCAGCACAAAAGATTTATATAGGTCGAGCTTGAGCAAATCGGAGCACTGAGCTTAATTTCTTTTTTACCTTACACTTTTCATCAGCTACATAACATCCTACTGGAACAAAACCAGAATGCGAAAGAAATGAAATCTAGAAAAATGTCCTATTACAATCAAGTCAGAATAAAAATGTCCTATTACAATCAAGTCAGAATGTAAAAGGAAGAGAAAATAAAGTATTTTTATCTAACTAGTAAAAAACTGTTTTCATTCCAGTATGGCAGGGATTACACTAATAAAAAGTTAGTTATACTGCACTTTACATTTACAGTAATTCTTTCTTCTGCATGGTTCTCAGTAATCGGACGAATTGATCAATCAGTCTGCCATGTAGAGAAATTTATGTAGTGGTAAAGAATCACAATTTTCTAGTTTCAGTAATTTAAATTAAATAAATCAGATTTTTTTTTTATTTGATTTACTTGATTTTGTAAAATTAAGACTTTTTTGTCACACTGATTTCTACCTTCGTTCAAAACTGAGCATTAGAGAAGAACTGATTTGAGGTAAAAACTTCCTAGACACAAAATCATGTCTACAAATACTACATGTTTGTTTTATGCACATTCTCTTAATTGCTACATTTGTTGCAGAAGAAGACCAACAGTCACAAATGACAAAATAAGAGCCAACCAAGAAGGAAGTGTGTTTCTCATACACTTTTAATGAAAGAAATCACTTGAGCAAGATAGTGAATTCTCTAAACCAATACCATAATAAAAATATGTATGCTATAAATATTTTACAAAGTGAGTTTCTTGTACAAAAGTCTGGTTGCCTTTTTTCTTTTCATGCCCCAGCACACAAGAGACAGGTCCATTTTTTTTTGTTGTTTACACGTGCGACATACTGCTTACTTAGAGCAAGTCACACTGGTTACACATTCTCACCACATGCACACACACGCACATAAAACACACTGCTGGAGAGTCAAAACAAAAGCTTTCTCCACTTCGACGGCTGAGAAGTTTTTGGGGCCAGGAAAAAAAGGTCCTCTTGTAAGGGAAAGAAAACAAAAACATACAGCCACAGAGTTCAGATCAACACATTGGAAATGGGTGCCTATTTACAAAAGCCTGGCCTATGAATCTGGCCGCTTAGTGCCCTGTTGGCTCCTGTGTATTTCTGCTTCTAGATAGTGCAGCAGTAGTTGGTTACGGGGAATCTCGAGTTGGAAATGTATAGACGTTGTTACACAGATGACGTGGTCAAAATAAAGCACCCTGTAGCAGGGGGTCAAGGGGAAAGAGCATGTACAATGATGCAAAACCGACAACCAAACTTTTTTTTTTTTTTTTTTTCTTAAGGACTGTGATTATGCTGCTTGGGGTGGCCACTGTTAACGTGTTACAGCTTGGCACATGGCTAGGTCGGTGTGTCTTGATTGAACAATGGGTGCCACGGGCAGTGCACTGATGGGGGTGAAAGCCTACATTTGTGCAAGTGAAGAGGAATCTGCTTCTCCTTAGGTCTGTTCTCCAGAATCGGTGCCAAGCAGGTTCTTCTTGCATGATGCAAAACAGCCAGCCCTTTGGCAAGCTTCTTAAGTACCGGCAAAGTTTCTTTGGACTCAGAAATGATGTGAATCTAGGCCATTCACCGGTAAAACTCAATGCAGTGCGAAAACTTGGTATAGATAATCCTCCATTCTCAAGAGTGACGGAGTTTAAAAGCAAGAAAATCGAATTGTCATAAAATGATGAAGGAGACATATTCTTTGAAATTCATTTCTAAAATGTTGAAAAGCATTCACAAGAAGAAAACTAAGTTTTACTTAGGAACATAAACTACTAAAAACCTAAAAAGTAACAGCCTCACATCTAACAAAATACCGTACTCAAACACTGCAGCAAGCTATATGCTCTCTCACAAATAAAGACAAATGCAGAGAAATATGGCAGGATACATACTTATGAAAATTCCAAAATCCTATGCAAGACAATGGCCTTTTTTTTTTTTTCAATGAACACACAGTATTATGCATTGCCAAGGAAGCTAGCAGAGTTATAATACAGAAAGGGAGCCCTAGAGTCACTGAACAACCAGAGTACTAAGTTTGTTGTTTATTTTTGCTGCACACAACAGATAAACTGGTATCAATGGTCAATGAGGTTCAAAACTTCAAAGTTAACGATCATTTGGCTTACCCGGCTTAAACGTTTTAAATAAATATGCTGGTTCACCACTCAGACTCCAGTCTCTAAAAAAAGCCAAACCCCCTTTCCAATAATATATATATAAAAAAAAAGAACCTTATGTGGTAACAGTTTATTTATTTTCCCTTCCAATCTAAAAAAAGGCTGCAGGTTTCGCAACTCTGGAGTTTTATTGAGTGACTCTAGGTAAATCTCCGAGTCCTGTTTTGACCTTGAGAAAATTCTTCAAAGGTCCTTTAAGTAGGATTTCTCTAAAGCAGACCCAGTACCAACAATTGCACCGCCCTGCCACAAGGTTGATGGGGCGATGCGAAGAGACACTGGTAGCACTGAAAACAGCAACATCCTAGCAGTCACCACAAGGTGAACAGCACACAAGGGGGAAAAGTCGGCTCCTCTTACAAAACTGTATGCGAGTGTCCACTAGTCGACGGGACGATGACGCGGAAGTTGAGGGGTGTGACAACCCGGGACAAGCGGCCCTTCTGGAAAAAGTGTGTTCCTATCATCCATCCCTCTGCACTCTCTGGCCAGCGTTCGGAACTCTTCTCGGCCGAAAAAATAGGCCGTGGCCGGCACCCTTCGTGCTGCAACCACTTGCCCGAGTCCCATTGCAAAACGGCAACGATTGGTGACTGAGCGTTCGGAGCACTGATATGTAGAGCAAACAGACTTCCTCGACACTTCCGTCCGGTGCCATCGCAGCTTTTGGAGTAGGTGGGATGGAGAAGAGCCTTTTGCAGTCGAGAGAAGGGAATATGGCAGTGCGCACGCACAAATATACATGCACATCAACACACATACACGCACACACACTTTCGCACACAAGCAGAGGGAACGAGATCTTTCCTCTTGGAGAGCTGCTCCCAGAAGATGAGCTCCACTGTCTTCTCCTCCGGAACAAACGGGGTGTCGGCAAAGTGGGGACGGGGCAAAGGGGCTTACCAGGCCCGACCAGTTGCCAACCGCGAGCTCTTCCACTGCACGGAATGACCGTTTGTCGCACGAGCCCAAGAGCCCAAAGCGTTGCAGCCATCACAATGATCAAACGAAAAAAAGTCTTCTTAAGTTCTCTTCGGCATGGGACGCGAAGAATCCGTCTTGCTCGCTCTTTCCCGGTTGGGCAATGCTTTACCTGGTTACCCCACGCATGCGCGGTTTTGTACTAAAAAAAGCACAACGGAAATGAGCGAGCACGATTGCACCCACTGTCAAAAAAAGTGTTCACCCTGTGCAAAAACAAACAAACACAGTTTCACTTTAAAAGAAATGTAAAACAAGATAAAAAGAAAACAATGAAGTTTTAGCACTTTGTTTCTGAGGAAGTGGGAAGAGAGAACACGCAGGAGTGGTAGTTGCTCGCAGGAAGGTCCGGAGCACAAACAGAAAGCCGCTGCCTCCGCTCCGTCGGGGAGAGGGACTGGAGTAGGGGACTGGAGTAGGTGCCGACGACGGAGACTGCGGCGTGTGGCAATCGGTGGAGGGTCGATGCGGCCCGCCCGGTGATTGGAAGCGGCGGGAGGAACCGAAGCGCGGAACGCCGTGGAGCGAGCAGGCGGGGGAGAAGAGGGCACACAGAGAGCACAAGTTGTGGTCCTGCCAGCGTCACACGTCCACCGACTGCCAGTGCAACCGTCATGCTTCCGACTCCCCATTCATGATGGAATTCACCTGGCCCAGCTTCCACGCCAGCCGGTTCTTCTGAGAAAACTCGTCCTCTTCTAATGTTTGCAGCAGCTGCGGGATAGTGGAAGAAAAAGAGTCGTAATTTGATTTAAAGTGTTCCAACGCTGCGCTACCGTGCTAGGCCACGCTAGGCTACACGTCCCCTTTACCGAAGGAAGCCAAGGAAGTAGGCTCGACAACCTCCGTCACAGTAATTTTTTCGTTTTCTTTGAGAGACTGAGGGCTGCATAATCGTAGGGCCAAAACATTTTGGCACAAATGCGAATGATCGAGAGTCCCAAATCAAACTGTGTCACCTGATGCAAAGTGCTCATTCATTTGGCATTTGTTTATGCATCTTTCAAGCACAAACCGGCGTACCAGCAAAGTATTGGCAGCGACTTTCACCATACTGCTCTGCCTGACAGCGCATTCTCTCATTCTTTTCTCAACATGAAATGAAGAGAGAGAGAAATAGAGAGAGGGAGAGAAAGCAGCGCAACAATAGCCACAGCATAGAATAATTAAAAGAGTAGTTGGTCGCATAGCAAGGTGTGTAAAGTAACTTTTCGTGCTACCGAAAAATCAAATTAAGTGACCTCAAACCATATGTTTATTTATAATATCCGCAGGGCCATAAGGCATTAGAGAGGGATGAGGGCACTGGTTACAATGATCAGAGTCTTCTATATATTCGAGTATATACTTACGATCACAGTCTATCGAGAGCTCTTTACAAGGGGTTCAACCGGCATCATAGTATGACGGATAAGATTAAAAGTTTGGTCAGAGGCAACTCACTTGATCTGTGTACTTGTAGGCATACTTGTACAGTTCGTGCAGAGCTACGTTGGTGTTGAACTCGTGTGCATGAAGCTGTAAGGGAAAGCACAGATTTTAGTAAATCATACACAGCTTAACAATAGAAAAGAACAGTGGTAAGGAAATGCTATCAGCTACAGGCAGAATATTACACATGGGTGCTAAATTTCAGGAATATTTTCTTTTTACTTCTATTAGTATCTTCCTTGCTTTCAAGACTAACATACTGCTATTTAGTAATACCACTTCTAGAACAGTTCAAGATAGTGTCACAAGTGGGCATCCCTTAGGCACATTTAAATGCTTACTGGCTGCACAATCATCTTGGACAAGACACAATGCCATGCCTTGTCTGCCTATCAAAAAAGAGTCCTAGAGTTGAGCCCGGATATAGTGAATTCAAAAGGGATTGTAAAGTAGTTTGATATATCAATATTTTGATATACAAATTTATGTTAAATTAAGCTCGAGTTGAAATTTCCTGGTGTCTTTGCTAATAACGAAGGTCACAACAAACGGGAGCTGACCAAATAGAAAACCTAAAAGCCGCTAAATACAGTAGAGCGCAGTTGACAGAGACCGCAAACACCGCCGCGCTTACACGCGCACCCGGCCGGGACCTCCACACAGCATAAGCAACAAAACACAAAAATAACTTAAAAAAACAAATGATAGAAAAATGGAAAAGCGAGATGCATAAAAAAATACCATAAAAAAAGTTAAGCAAGAAAAAAAAAACTTACTAAATTCAGGCAGCAAAAAAAAAGAAAAGGGCAATGCTATAACAGCAAAAGAAAAAGGTAAACAAAGATAATGTGTTCAAAGTGCGATTGCACAACCATTGTTGTCAACACACTTAAGTTGCCGAAGACATTTTTTTTGCTCATATTATTTTGGTGCTATGGAGTCCAGCAGCATCAGCAGTGTTCAGGGAAAGGGCATAGGCTACCGTTCCGACAACGGGCACTCCCTGCTCTCCCTACGCGTGCGTGCGCACGCATGCCCTTTTCTTTGCTTTTGCCATCCTCCACCTTTTTTTTTTTTTTTTAATGGTTCATTGTCATTTTTTTTTTTTCACAACTGCTCTTTCGGTCTGTATCTTACCTACCACGTGTATGCTGGCTTGGCAGTCTGCCAGCCCCGCAATGCAACGCAAGTGATGTGCTCGCCACTGGTGCAATCGGATCGCGGGAAAAGCAACAGGCAGCTGGGCTTCGTTTGCTATATCAAGTGTCCCCACCATGGGAGTTCGATACAAAAAGACAATGCTCCTATAGTATTACATGTGATTTTCAAGGAGATGTTTGGACTGCTTGATATAAACAATAATTCAAAATACCCGAGTGTGATATAACAGAGCTCAACTGTATACTCAAAATTTCCAACATGTAGCAGCGGTATAGTAAAAGAGCTGGCGAACTTATAGTTCACTTTCATGAGACACTTGCTAACCCAAAGTAACAAAAAAAAAAAAAAAAAGATATTCTCAGGAAAGCCACACAGGAAGGTTCCACCTACCCTGGACTCCTCTGCCAACATAGCATTCATGTCTTGATCACTGATGGCAGGCATGACCTTGATGTCTTGGTAATACCTGAAAATCAAGATACAACGATTTCCATCAAGATACAACAATCAAGAAAATCAAGATTCAACGATTTCCATCAATATACAACTATCAAGAAAATCACAATACAACAAAACAAAATCAAGAGAGAACTGCGGACTGCAAACGAAAACTGACTCTGGCACTAACACGGGCACTTAGTATAGTATTCTCAGAACCAAACAAATTATCAAAGACGGAGTGTTGTGTCGTTGAACATCGCGATCCTGGCGGTTAGTCGTCGAAATGCCGGCGAAAAAGCAGGAGGGAACGCGGGTGTCACCGTCCTCGCGGTGTCCCAACGGCTGCCGAAACCTCCATGAACTGTCAAACTGGAAAGCAACTGGCAGCGGAACGGACGTTTGCCACATTCACCACAGCCGCTGCAACGCTGCCGAGATCGCGGCCGGCAACAGCACGTCACTTCCACGACGTCGTCAAGCCGAAGTCGAGGGACCACATTTTTTAGACGCGTACCAGGCATGTATATGTGTATTCACTTGGTCTAGTTGGTGATACACCACGACAATTAACGGCGCCAAAAAGACGTGGACCAGTAAAAGAAGAGGCGCACGTGCCAAGAATGCATTGGACCACGTTAATTCAAATTGATAGAAAAGGAAAAAAACATATACACCTCATCAACAAAACATCCGCATCTCGTATGTGACACGGGTGTTTTGTTTATGAGGCATGCATGTTTTTTATTGAGTTTGATCAATTCAGATTAAACTTGAGTTACAAGAGCACTCTTAGTGCATCTTCTTTTACCGGCCCTCGTCTTTTTGCCGCTTTTAATCGTCGCGGCGTATGAGGCACCTTGGCGCTACGTTGCAGTTTTGCGATGCCGTCGTCGAATTCAATGCCGGTGGTTTTCAAACTCGTTTACGTGGGACGAGCGCTCGCGCTAGAAGAGCACATATTGAAGCTAGGAACATGGCCTAGGTCAAGAGTGCTGCTTCTGCAACCCCGTTCGGCCGAAAGGTAGCAAAGACCGAGACACAGCAAGAACTGCCGCACACTGCTTCAGGCAGAAAAGGGAGCAAATACCGGAACAGCCCAGGTACATCCCTCCGCGTTAAAAGTTAAGCATGGTTCGGACAGTTGCATGGACTGCGTTCGGAGTGACAGACCTGATGGCAACGACGGTCACCGGGACGAGCGTTCTCCGTACACGGTCCGATATGCGAGACAAGGAGTGACTTGGCAAAGCAATCGTGAGTTGCGATTGTCAGGCGTCTCTTTCATTTCATCCATAAAGATGACGAGTCTGAGCATTCCCGTCTACCTGAAACCAAATGTGGCCCTTTTTCTTCGATTTTCCCCAGAATTGAATTTTTGTTTAATTTGCCGTATTTCAAACTTCCTTGAAATTCAAATTAACAAGCTTTTGCTACATAACTATAGCATCCTTTAAAGGACACATGCAAAGGAAAAAAACATTTTTTTTAAACGGCTTAGATGGAAAAAGGACGCCACAAAACAATTTTACAACGAAGAAAAAAAATTTTTAGAGCTATATTTACGGCGCAAAACGATTTTGTAGTTGGCGCCCGCGGGCACCGCGGAAAAGTGGTCTGTATTTATCACGTGACTGGTCTTTATTTATCACGTGGTGCTTGCGCTCTTTCGGAAGCTTCCTATGGCCTCTAAAAGTAACTTATTCATCTTTGTTTGAAGTATAACAAAAAACCAAGACGAATAAGTAACTTTTAGAGCCCAAAGGAAACTCCTGAAAAAGCGCAAGCAGACGTGATAGACCTGTGCGCCGCTCAGACGACGGCGGCGGCGCCCCGAAGCAGACGAACTTGTGCGGCGGCGGCGACGGCGGCTTGGAGAAACGCGTTGAAGCGGCGTTCGCACAACGCTCAGCGTGCGGCGGCGACGCAGCGCGGCGGCGCGCGGGCCTACCACGTGACCAGCAGCGGCTCCCGCGAGCGCCAACTACAAATTCGTATAGCGCCGTAAATATTGCTCTAAAAATTTTGTTTCTTCGTTGTAAAATCGTTTTATGACATCCTTTTTCCATCTAAGCTGTCTAAAAAAAATGTTTTTTTCCTTTGCATGTGTCCTTTAAGTCAACTTTCAGAACAGCAAAGAAAAAAAAAAAAAAAATGCACACCAATTTCTAATGCATGATATTGAAGGGCTGTAAAACAGTTAATGGAACAACACATTTTTCATCTTCCAGATACGTCGCTTGGCTCGTCTGGGTTGACTTTGAAAGGTTGAAGGGGCAATACATGCCCAAGAACATCTTTCTTAAGGGGAGACACTGCCCAGAAAAAAAAATTTCTGCAAAAAGAGTTGATTTTGAAAAATTACATTTTTACATCCACCAACATCTAGAGAGTATTCCCAAAAAGTTTCATTAATTTTCACTATATAGTTAATTTTTTATAAATTATTTTCTGTCCACCAAAGCTATAGAAAAGGTAGGGTTTGGAGCACTTTGAACACATTTTTCTCCGTTCCACTTTTTGGTATAAATTCCATTTTAGTCAATCTATCGTTTGATAATGGCAAAACAGGGAAAGCTCATTCTTCCCTTTTCCTGACTGAAATTTAATAAGGAGTGCGGCTATGGAACTTTTTCGTCACTTTACGGATGTCTTTTGTAAAAAATGTTGACATTTTGTCGAAGGCACAGAAGACCAAAACGTTGACCAATTTTGCAGAAGAGAAAATTTATAGAAATAAATTACTTTTTAGAAAAAAATGTTCCATAGCCGCATCCTCTATGCATTCTGCTACATATCTAGCAAATAAAAATTTTTAATATCGCAACAGTTTTCTGACGATAGATTAACTAAACAACGTAGGCGTGTTGCTGATAGAAGCTACCCTTATTTCCTTCTCACTTAACCGACAGACCTGAAATTTTGTTATACACCCTCTAGCATGACCACCAGCCTACCCTGTAAATTTCATTAATTATAAGACAAGGGTTCAAAAGTTGACCCCCCTAGGGGGTGTGCCCCCTTAAGATGTCCGGCTAAGTTACACGCAATGCAACATCCACTTTGTGAGTATGCCTCAAAACAAATTCTCCTTCAAAGTCGACGTCAGTCCCATCAGAGGAGAAAATTTTATACCTCCCCTTTTGCAGTATGTGATTGGCCTAAGTCATTTTGGAGCACTTTTCGGAGCAGCCAAAACGGTGTTTCAGAGCTTGTGTATGTGTGGTGTATGTTTTTGTTTACTTGAGCTTCTCCACCTGAGCTCCTTGGTTGGTCACATAAACACGCACCACGTTTATGCGACTCGGTGGTCCTCGCCCTGGTTCGCACAAGTACAGTTTCTGCAGAATGCCGGGGTTGCACATGTCAACGACTGTCAAGCCGTTCCGTAAACTATGGTCTAAGTGCTTCATGGGCAATTTGACCCAGAGGCTTGCGTCGGGGCACATACACTAAAACTTTGTGTATGTCTACCCAGTTTTAATTTTTGCTTTTACACGTCTACCCACACTTCGCGGTGGGATGAAGTCGCCCAGCGAGGTACGTTTCCATGATTTTACCCATATATATTCTTCGGCATGTATTCTGAAAAGGACTCAGGTTCGGGTCCTGGAATGCGGAACCAAGGAGAGAGCTTTTATGACTCCACGGGGAGGGGGGGGGGGGGGCAGCGATCTTGTACATGATTCGCTTAGCATTTGTTGGCGAGTGGGACCAATCAAATGTATTCAGTGCCCCCATTAAAGGGCCAGGGCATCTGACCAGCTGTCTTGACCCCCGATTGAACAGGCCACCGTGAAATTCGGGCTCGTGCACAATCCTTTAAAGTTTGTCTCCCGCAATGCACCATGCACCCCGACGTGTGCGACAGGTACTTTGTTTAGCATCTACAAAGTAACCACCATCCTCACCAAGCGTGATAGGACACCTGATGCCGAGGCATCCTTTATTTGCAAGCAGTGTGCAACAGTTTGTCCAAGTTATCATATTTTGTTTTCTTTATTATGTAACCTGGAGTTTAAGTAAAATTTGTGTCAAATCAATCAAATTTGGGGGTTTTACGTGCCAAACCAACGGCGGGCATCTGGCACGCTCCAGCGGAGGACTGAGGATTAATTTCGACCACCTGGGGATCTTTTGACGTGCAACCGAAAGCTCGGTTACACGGCGTCTTTTCCGCAATAAGCCTCCGTCAGATTGCGGGCACCTCGGCCGGGATTTGAACCCGCCACATGGGGATCCGTAGGCCAGCGCTCTCGCCTCGGAGCCACCGAGGTGGCTAAGTAAAATTTGTGTGTTTTTGTAATTGAACACGAAGCCTCCGGTTCATACGTCACCGACAACCAACCCTCCAACAGCTAACATCATCCACGATCCCCCGGCCCTCGACGACAGTCACCCAGGGTGCACATACGGTCTGGCCAAACAACCTGAACATCATCACTCCTACCGAAGTACTGTATTTACTCAAGTAATAGCCGCATTTCTTATGGACAAGGCCCTTGCGTCTACTTTGCTGCATAGGACGCACATAGCCAATTATCGCATTCCGCATAAAAATGAAGCGCATAATGAGGTCAAGAACAAGATTTTTCGTAAAATGCTATCTGAGCAGAGAGCATTTTCATGTGAAGACGAAATCCCTGTCCCGTAAATCGCTGCAATATATCCGCCGATCGTGGTTATTTGCTATCCCCATGTTCAAAGGGAAAGCAGACCCACAGGTCTTGTTCTTTAGAAGTGTGAATGTCACTCAAGCAAATACGGTAGTTTTAAATGTAATGTCTTTTTAATCAGAATTAATTGGGGGGCTAGTTGGTTGAACATCTCGACGGTGGTTTTAAAAAGCGCAAAGGATTAAGAAGAGAAGGAGGGGACAGGACAGAGCGCTTACACAATCGTCCACACATCGAATTCTACCAGCTTCTTGGGCCTTAGCTGCTATGTCGTGTATCTTAGACACCAGCTGTACGCCCTGCATTTTTGGTGGTGTGCAAAATTTTGGACTTTTTTCTAGTATCTTGTCTCTGTCCTGTCCCCTCCTTCTCTTCTTAGTCCTTTGCGCTTTTTAAAACCACCGTCTAAGTGTCTTTTTAACGTGCAATTTTATTTTAATAAAAAATAGTGGGACAACAAACTAATAAGTAAAAAAATAAATACTAAAAACACAGTCCTTGGGCCTCTGAATGAAGCCCCATTAAACATAGCCTCTGATGATCAACTTACTACAGTCGCGTCTCGTTAATAATGGACACTTACGTTCCCAAAAACGTCCTCCGTAATTACCGACTTCACAGCACACAAATATAGCACACACACTGCACAGTGTGTATGTTGTGCATTTGTCCAAACTACTAGTGTGGATGTGTGATATTTGTGCACTGTGAAGTCAGTAATATGCTCAACGAACATGCCCAAACTGCAGTTTTGTCATCTGCAATGCCAGTCTTCTATAATTATGAGACCAAAATGCATGTAATTGCCCAGCTCAACCCCCAGAATTTGGTCTATACAGGGTACCCATATAAACGGGGTCCACATTAACGAGACACGGCTGTACCCTCAAAAGCCAAGCAAGGCCCACCTCTCGACCCAGTCCTTGTAGACGGGAATGTCCTTGGCATAGAGCAGCTTGCTGCTGGGGGAGTCCTTGCCCAGCCGGTGGTCGGAGGTGGAGCAGGCATCCATGAAGGTCTGGGCCACCACGGACAGGCACGAGTCCACAATGTTGGACTTCACAATGTCAAACACAAAGTTGGGGTTCTTGATCAAGTTCACCCAGAAGCGCAGGGGCAGGCTGCAATAACAGGCGAGAACAATCAAGCTCCTTTCTTCTGTCCAGTTACGTACAACCGTAGAATCTGAGAAACACTACAATGAAAGCAGTAAACTCAAAATGAGGCGCTACGAACGAGGCAAACAAATGCTCTTCTATTCTAAAGAATGGTAGGTCATCCCAAATTGGAAAAGAAAGGTGGTTTGCGACACCTTTCCCTTTCTACTCTACGCAGTGGCCCGTGATTTCCGGTTAAAGTTATGCAACAGTACCTTTCCAAATGTCTGTGAGACAAATATTGGACCATTTTTCCTTTCTCCAGAGCAATATATCAGGATGTTGACATACGGATCTTTTCTGCTAATACTATCTTCGATGCATTCAATTTCATTTACACTAAGCTTTTTACTGCTATCATTCCCATACCACGTGTAGCAGATGCTTGTCAAACAATTAAACTGGCCAAAAAACAAGCAGTACCAATACGCGCAACAAAAGAGAGGGAATAGCATACAACAAACTCAATGGCTCGTATTGGCATAACATTTGCAGCCATTGTGGCGACCATGCTTTTGCAGCGTGTACCTTTACCAGCATTCATTTTGCTCTATGTGCAAACATGTATTAGTCACTGTAGTATTTCTCTGCAAAAGGAATCGCTCACCAGAAACGAGAAGCCCTGCAGGCACCCGTTAAACTCTCAGACAAACCATTGAAGGAATGAAAGAAAAGCTTACCTATTGGACTTCCAGGTGTGCACGACCTCAGGATCGGTGATGCCGTGCTGCAGCGCTTGATCGTCGAGGAAGTCGAACATGTACTTGATGGCCAGGGGCAGGGCACTGCCACGATGGGCCGTGCTGAAGATCGTCTCAAACAGGTCATCCACAAATTTCTGCAGCGTGCCCTGCAAGACAAACGGCATTGCCAAACTGGAAGATACTGGCCACATTCAAGAAAAGGCAGGTTATATGGGCGAGGAATTTGACGGCGTCTGCTCGAAGAACATATACTCCGTGTCGACTTTTCTACTCGACATTGTGAAGGCTAAGGTAGTTTTTGCGGCGCTCAAAGAAAAAGTGGGAAAAAAATTTAAAAATAAAAGACCAAGAGGCATCTTCCCCTTCTCTTTAACTCACGTCCCCTTCAACCCTGTTCCCATAAGCGATATGCCATATCTTTACATAATTTTGACCTAAGGAGTGCCAATCCCCAGTTTAATGCAATTATCTCCAAATTTTCAGTGGGCACTTGCTCAGGAGTTTGTGTTATATATATCTACTGACTGTGGCCTCGAAAACTCGAGTGCCTACATTTGGGATAGAAAGTAAATGACACATTATGCGTACGATTAAACCTATAGAGATGCCCAGCTATACCCAATCGAGGGGAATTATAAATATCCTCGCTAGATGCAAACATTTTTTCTTCAGCTATGAATGATTAATGCAGGCCGTAACGGCATCTCTGCCTAAAATATAGATATGCAGTTTCATTCTGAATATTTTACCGCAATGTAGATATCAATATTCACAAAGTTTCCATTTCCTTGTAAACACACCGGGCGTGAGCGCACACCATCCCGCTTTGAAAGTGTGCTTTCCCCTTAAGCGTGCAAACGCAATATTTGTACCTTTCAAAGTATCAATCGCAGTGCTTTAGCCTTGTCGAGTGTGCTTCTTACCGAGCACCGCTGTACTGCGGAGAAGCACCACCCGTGGAAGCGAGCTCCGTGGGTGTTGCTTCTTCGCAGCGCAACGGTGCTCGGTAAGAAGTGCACTCAACAGGGCTAACCAGCCGCTATAGACCTTTTCTGCAAGTGCGCCACTATCTTGAATTGACGTCACTTCCAGTATGGGCGAAAACATTGTTTTGACTTTGCCACGCCAATAGAAGGCATTTAGGATATAAGCGTAAACGTCGCACTTTGTCGTTTTGCCTCCCCTTTATTTTTTTGCAATTTGCAGGTTGAAACGTTGGATTATTTTTTCGTCGCCCATGCCGGATACGCCTATTATGTGGCTGGAGACGAGAGTACACAGAAAAGGTCTATAGACACTTGTAAAAATAAGAATATTGGAGTTCACCTCAAAGTGTATATCGATTAGCATATTATTCGAAACTACTATTGGAAAATTCGGGCAACATTAGTCGCGCGCATGCGTTGGCACCACGGGGCGTCGACTACATTACCGCCAACACCTCCTACACACATCTTGCGTGTGACATCACACTAGAGAAGAACGAAGCACCGCGCCATACTGATGGTTGACTTCGCACCGCACATATGTGCTTACTAGTGATGGGCCAAACTTTTGCTGAATAGAAAATTCAGCGCCGAATCTTCGGATTCGGCAGAGCCGAACGTTTACCGAACTTTTCTAAAGATTCACAAAAATACAATACATTGTTATACCGGACTTCACGTTGATATTTAGTTTTTTCCTGGCGAAAAAGAGTTTTTATGTTTTTTGTTTTTTTTCTTAACTTGAATGCAACATGGAATGCATAATGACACAGTTACTACTAAATAAGGTGATATTCTACATACAGGGGTTCTCAAACTGGGTTCCGGGGAACACAGGGGTCCCACGAGCTGGTCTCATGGGTTCCGGGGAACACTCAAATTGCAACCCCCCCCCCATGCCGCGCAGCTTCCTCTGCCGAGCTTCCCATGCCGAGCACCTTCATCTCACTTTTTACTGACATTGCAATTGATATGATGGGGATATATGGGAAGCAACACAAGCAAAATTGCCTACAATTGTGCATCTGTTGCTTCTTGGTCGGCAAATATGCAGGGGGGGGGGAGGATTCCGCAGCAGTTTTTGAGGCTTCCTGGGGTTCCGTGAGGCCAAAAAGTTTGAGAACCCCTGTTCTACAAGATAATTGTATCGGTGTCCTTTTTGTGTTTATTGGAAATTTTACAGTGACCTCTTGCAGCAGTGCTGTGACAACAAGGTTGGGTAGTAGCGGTCACTCACTAGTCACGATACAAGAGTTTCGGTCTTGAGGCCTCATCAGCACAAGCCTGCCAGTGTGTGTACAAATAAAGGCAATAACACTGCATTCTTACTTTCTCTGGGAGTCACCGTTCCGTATGCAAAAACAAATGCAATGGTTGCAGACCCTTTGCCAGAATTGATAACAATATTTTTGTATTTATTTACGCATGTTTTTCGATTTGTTGCATGACGTCAGTTTTGTATGAAAGTGTGCGTCCCATATTCGAAGCGCCTCGTTTTTAACCTTTAAAATGCCGTTTTCTGGTGTTAGGACACACACAGACGTTTAGGAACATGGGAAGAGTTAGGAATGTCAGATGTGCAACGTTGAGCATGATAGTCCTGTGTTTAATTTTATGCAGATGCATAAAAACTGCGAAATAACAAAAAAGCAATATTACTTTGTTTTGGCAGAAACTACTTGTGAGCAGAAAACAGGATTGTTATAATTGCGAGAAGCGCTTTAAACCGATTGTCAGTCAATGTTTCAACTACCTCGTTGCATCACTGGAAAGGTCAAATGAAAATCACGTCATTTGTCACTTGCGCAGTGTACTGTGTAAATTATAGGTTGATCTTCTGTTCTTGAGGCAGAAAATATTGAAGAGAACCACACTCTCAAAGGCTCACAAACACACAGTTACCGGTTACAGTGTTGCCTACTCTATACCTCGCTGTAATCGCTGGTTGTAACACACTGTACAATGATAACCACATGACCGCACGGCGTCCATTAGCAAACAAGGCAGGGGTGTCGGAGCGTCTCTTTCGGATGCCCTGCCTGCGCTTGTTGCCGAAGATTCAAAGAAATAGAATAGATTTTGCTTTTAATTCACCGGTGTTTGTCCCGTCGATAGCTCTGTTGGTAGAGCAATACACCACTGTCATTCGTAGGTTTCTATTTTGAGTCCGGCTTGCCCAGCGGAAATGTTCGCTTTATTTAACTATGCAGCGGCGGCGACTGGGAACAATCATGTCATCGACGACCTTGCCGGAAGTGTTTGTGAAGGACGACTGCACCATTTCCCCGGGAGGTTCCCACCAAAAGCTGTCGCCGTAGAAATTAAAGTTGATTACCTTTGTGGCCAAAAGCCTCGTGAGGTAGATTTCAGAGACCATCTTGTTCCCTCGCTCTCCTTCCTTGTTTTCACCATCATGGTGCTTGACCTGTGGGAAAACGAGGCATCAGTCCTGGTTTCTTCAAAAAGTGTCCAGAGAGCAGTTGAACTTTGGCTAGCCTGTCAAAGGATGCACTCACCAAGTGCCAGTACTTGTAGCCAGTCTCTGGGTCGTGATTTAGGGGGGACGTTGCACGACTTAGCGGAGGACTTGTTTTCATTGAGAAGTTGAGGGTTTCTGTTAACAAAAGAGGCGACACGACATTGGAAATAATTTTAACACAATACACCTGTACTTGTTGTAAACTTACAGTAAGCTCAATTCTACCCTGTACAAAAATTCAATTGAACCAGACAACATGATTCAGTCCCCATGGCTGAATCGTAATGACAGGATTGTCGTCCTATCAATTGCTAATTGCTTTGAAAAACAATGCGAGATAAAAAACTGACTAAGTACTAACATCATAGGCTTTGTTAGTTGTAACCATTACATCTATCTAAAGACAAATGTAAAAGAATCTAATGTTTGTGCTCTCGAAGAAAACTTGATTATTACATTAAAAGGAAACTAGCTGCTGAAAACCGCAATTTTTCTCGTCGGTTAAATGTTTGTAATGCAGCCATCCCAATGTTCTGTGCACGTAACGCAACCAATTTCTTTTAGGGGTGAAGCTCCTTAGGGTCTAGCCTTGGCCATCCGTCCGGCGTCTGTGCTCACATTGATTGCACTGCCTCCGGGATCGGCCCACTTTAAAAAAAAACACGTCTGCCCGCGCGAGGGTTCGAACTCAGGACCGCTTGCTTCTGAGGCAGACGTCTTAACCACTACGCTACACTCCAACATTGCATGTAGCCGCTCAACGTCTATACAGGAGAGGGCGCTGTGGTCAAATGCGTATATAATCGTGTTAAACTTTGCATGCATTGGCTCAATGTTTATAGACGAGAAGGCACTGCAGTCAAATGCTCAACTGCGTATATAATCACGATTCATACCACACATTCTCTTTCTGACATGGACCGTTGACTTAAGCGGTGGAGATGCGTTCCCATGGCTTCTAGCCGATCCAAGCTGATCCGCTAGAAGAACCACTGGCTCTGCATTTCACCGACCATAAAGCAGTAATAATGAAGTCGAAACGCAACCCAGAACTCAGCACTACCTATGAGCAATAAAAAAAAATCATCACCATCAGCACTACCTATGAACAATAAAATTAGTATCATCAGTACCACCAGGGCTTTGCCTTAACATCATTCACCACGGGGAGATGTTTGCTTCTTTTTAGTTTTCATTAGTTCGTATTGCGGTTAATTTGAGCAGCTTTAGTATGTGCTTAAAGTATGAATAACCAAACTTTTAATCACTCTCAGAACTCCTGCTGTGGGTGAAAGCACAGAAAATAATGGTTAAAAGATTACAATGAGCAGGCTGTCAAGACACAAATTTCTGGTAAGTGCACTCAGACAACACAAAGGCCGTACACAATTTAACAACCCCTCTTCAAATGCTTGTTACGACAGAGAGCAAGCGTTTGACCCCACCAGAAAACTATGAACTAGGTGCTCTATGCATCAACAAGGGCTTCACGCACAGAAGACACCTTTCACAGTCCGTGAAGTGCCAGAGCACTCGGTGAATATAAACCAGAATAAGATGTAAACTTTAATCAGACTACTCAGCAAAAGAAACCCAGCCACATGCCACGTTCCAATCACCACTTACCATACTTGTGCGACTTCTCCATTTTCTCTGACATGATGGAGAGGTTGTACATAGATGACTGCTTGGCCACCAGGGTGAGGTTCGCTCCGTCCGACACCTATCGCAAAACAATAAAAAAGAAAACTGTAAATGAGTATATCTTGTGGAGCAAGACATCCAGTCTAATGACTTCGTCTATGCAAGTCAGGCAGGGTACCAGTTATTCTTTTTTAATTTCCACCGCCACTGACCTTGTAGTGGGCAAGTGTGTTCATCCTTTTCCACTCTCCGTCAGCCTTTGTTGTGGAGTCCTCATCAGAGAGGATCAACCGCCCTGTGTTCCCGGTCCTCCATTCTGAAATGAAGGTGAAAAAAACATTCACAAAATGATTAAGCTGGAGTCGTAACGTGGTGCCAACAAACTAAGAAGTCGAGAAAAAAACGAAAGCCGTTTACAATTCCCTGTAACGCCGGTTAGAGCGCAGCTCTTGAGGAGGAAGGTGGAAGCATACTGAGAGATAGGTGACTCCTTGAAGTCACGTGACCTCAGGGGCTCACGTGACCTTCGGGGGTCACGTGACCTGAAGGGGTCACATGACCTTAGGGGGGGTCACGTGACCTAGGGGTGTCATGTGACCTGGGTGGGTCACGTGACCCCCAGAAGTCACGTGACTTCAGGGGGTCACGTGACCTCAGGGGGTCACGTGACTTCTGGGGGTCATGTGACCTAAGGGGGTCACGTGACCTCGGGGGGTCATGTGACCTCGCGGTTACCCCGACAAACCGGAAACGGGCCCCTAAGAGCTGCGCTCTAATAAATAAACTGTGCAAAGGACTAGGACAGAGGCAGAAACAAGTACGACAAATGGAGTGTAAAAGAAGTAGGGCCTGATAAAAAGGAAGAGAGGTCAGTTTGGAAGGCTGTAGCCAGTCGCTCCATATAATAATAGATATGGCAGTAAGCAGGATGATTCGGACAATAAGTGATAATTTTGGAATTCCAAATGTAATCCCACTATAACAGCGATGCTCACAAGCAGGTCCATTTGGAGGATTTGCATTACACAATATTAGGGTACTCTGTAAACTACCTGTGACCACTGCATCCTAAATCTCATGATGTCTAGATTCTTTGCCTGATTCCATAATGCCTGTGACTAAGGCATATGCATACAGACGTGGCAGTGCATCTTCGTCTTCTGGCATGAAGTATAATTAGCTAGTATTACAACAGCCCATCTACTGTGTATTTCCGTAAAAAAAACACCCACCCAAATTGAAACCCCTACAAACTCTCGTATCACAGAAACCACTATCTTGTGCACAAATCGCAAAAAAAAAAAAAAAAAAAATCAAGAACGATTTACAAATTTGCGTGTCACGGGAACGGACACCGCAGATTATGGACGCAGCACATTAGCGTGTCACGGTGAGATAAACACGAGGGAACCCGCGGCGAGCATGCCTGTCGCTCGTACCGATACGGCAGATCGCACGGCTGATGCGATTTTCGTCTGACATTGTGTGATCAATATCCAGGGTGAATCGAGGAGGGGGAAATGTTTTGGAATATTTAGGTCATGGTCATTCAGCCCCAAAACCGGGATGGGCGATCTCTCGGGGGCGGGAATTCTCTCGGAACTTTACGGTATCTGTAGCAGCATTTAAAGTTACCAATACACAAGAGGTCCATGCTCTCTCCCCAAAACCCAAAAAGGCTCAATGAGGGTGCCAGAAGTGTAGGAGGTATAATCCACTGTAAGTGTTTCCAAACAATTTAATCTCGAGGAACTCCCATTTGCCTTGAATGGCAACCGAGGAAGCCCTCCCTGACTCACCACTGATCCAATAAAGTAGTGCACAGAAGTTTACCAACATTGTAAAGAAAATGTATAGAAAATGCTAGGCAACTGCGTTGCATACGGGAAACGTTTAGGCTTCATCGCTCTTCGGTTACACCTTATACCCAAGCACATTGATGTTAGTCCGTGTAGTGTGGGATTAGTCTCTAGTGCTCAAACTCAGATGTCTAACATCTTTGCTCGCGCTGTTCATCACTGAGATTCCACGCAGCTAAACGCCTGCTTTCATGGTGCTACATAATGAGAAACAGCGCAAAAGGGACAGGACACAAAGTAGAAGAAGGACACAGGACATGCGCTGACTAACAATGGTGCTTTTCATGAGATAACTCAAAGTGTACCATACCCACTTATAGCAGTTCCTGGAATGACGCGATACTGCTAATCACTCCTTCGTCAGTGCATCCTCGCTCAACCACACGAACACCACCTCCTCACCCACTAGCCACGTGACCTCACCCCATTAGAGTGCCGAGCTTCCTTCGTCGGTGCGCAAGTGGTTGCACTCCTCCTTACCCACATCCAGCCATGTGACCTTGCCCGTTAGCCAATCGACATCAAACTTCCTTCGTTCCTCCTCTCCCCCGTCAACCAATTGGCGTCAAGCTCCGCAATCGCTCCATTTTTCAGGCTTCACGAAATACCGAGCAACTAGCGAAGAAAAGTTTCACATTAATAACGCACAAACTAAGGAGTGTTTGGCCCATAGTTATGCATCAAAGGGTTCACTAAAGTAATGCTTACACTGGAAAAACGCTTTGCTTAGCGAATGAACGGTCAAGATAATTTGGAAGCCTGTGAGGGTACCCTGAGCAACCTCAGTACTCCTTTTTTTTTAAACATACAATGAAAGAGACGGGACGGAAGGAAGGAGACAAACAATCGCTGATTGTTTGTCTCCTTTCTTACGTCTTGTTTGTTTCTTTGTACGTTTTAAATAATCATGCCTTACCAACACGCCCAAGCTTCCATTCTGATCAGTATTCCTAGGTGCTCAGTTTGAGAACCCAGCACATAGATTTGAGTAGTATAGCGCTACAGGAATGACAACTAAATCACAGCTACACCAGTCACAGCCAAATCTAACGGCGTCAGTGTTGGCGCCGCTGGGACTGGATCCCAGTGGCGCCAACATTGACGCCGGCTTTTCTGCGACATTAGCTCCTTAAAGCTATCGCTCTAAAAGGTTGAGGTTCGCTCACCCAGGTCCAGATCATCTTTGCTGGGCCGCTGTGAGGAGGGCATGTTCTTGTAGACGGCATCGAGACCTTTCTCCTTGACCTGAGAAACGGTGTCGCAGTCCAAGATCCTGACCGGGGTCTCGTTGTTCTCCCCAATCGGCTCCATGCCGGGCATGTAGCAGCTCTGCTGCGCTATCGAGATGTAAGCAGTCTGCAAAACAAACGAAACACATTTAACCAAACAATACAGGGAAGCAGACCTGTGTGGCTTTGTAACAGAATTTGCATCTCAAGGATCAATTGGAAAGGGGTTGGAAGGTTTTTCAATTCTTGAGGCACAAAACAGCCCGTCTATGACTTGTTTGAGAAAATTCACCATCACAATTACTACACACTTCTATATAGCCCACTTCTGGTGAGGCCCCGACCCCAAGGGAAAATAAATAAATAATTGCCTAAAGTGCACACTTATTAAATTTTTGGCCATTGCATTGTTTTTGAGGTTAGAAATCAGCAGGAATAGAAGCAAACATAAGCATTTTGTAGTAGTTTAAGAAGCAGTCATGCTCAACAATACCAATAAAGTCAGGAAGTGATCATTTAACACTTGCACCAGAGCTGCTGAATTATTAACTACCTATGTAGTATTATTGTTTTTGAGCCCGTGACTATGCAAACTACCACAGCCATTGTATAGATCCCTATCTTTAATGCAGTGGTTTTCAAGGGCGGTCCACAGACCCTTTGAGGTCCAAGAAGGAGTTCTAGGGGTCTGTGCAGCCATGCCTCATCAATCAAGGCCGGCAATAAAAGTTGTCATTTTTAAAATTGAGAAGAAACATCCCAATTTTCGGGCGAGTTTTCTCATGCGTATGTCAATGAGAGAAATCTACTTGACATTAGCCCTTGGCTATATTGATTTATTAAATCATTATCATAATTAACCTATACCTTTCCCTTCCCCTCATCACGAACGGGGCAGGGTCCTTCATCATTTACGCTTATCTACAAGGGGTCCAGGAAACATCAATGGTTGAGACCACTGCTCTAATGTATATCCGTTTTACTACCACCCTCAGGGTCCTTATGGCCAAGTAAGTAGTTAATGTTTTTTTCTGTATCCTGCAGGCACCCACCATGCTCTTGTACTCGATGGACTGCCGAATGAGCTTCTCCTCGGAAAGGGAGTACCGTGCTTCGCTGGTGATGGCGTCCACTGGACCTTTGTCCACTTGCTGCTTGATGGCTCGGTAGAGCACAAACAGGGGCTCTCCGGCACATTCCTGGGTCACGGGACGGAAAAAGACGGCCCACGTTGGCATGGAGTCCTTTGCAACAGACTGCGCCAACGAATGACGCCAACATTGGACACACTGACCCGTAGGAACTTGTACAGCAGGAATGTGAACCAGGCAGACAGCATTTTCTCTGCTACAGACTCGGTCCTGAAGGGGAAAAAAAATGCCCAGTGTTTTGAAAGAACTCGGAAGGGTCATGCAGATCACCCCCAAACTTCCTCGATCTTCAAGCTCACCTTCGTAGTAGAAGTTTTGGGTGGCTCTTGCCCTCGATGCATTTCTCGATCAGTTCAGCTAATAATGTCTTCAGGATGCTGGCAAAGAAAAAGAGTCTAGTTTCAGCTAATTTAATGTATAAACTGCACGACAAGAACTGCATGGTTACTCAAATGCATAGACTGCATGTTGGCAGGATACAGTGTTTTCGGAATTCATTTCTTATGAAATTAGGAGGGAGTTCTTTAGGGTTTATTTTTAACTGAAAAATCTGGGTGAATCAGTCTGCTTGTGTTAGATTCCCAATTCTGAAATTCTGAGTTATTTTAATGTGTTCCCCAATCATTCAAAATTGAAAAACAAAAGTAAGTCCAGGCACAAATGTATCCCCAGTTCATGAGAATTCACCTGTATCAAACAATATTTATGGCAATACTAACCAGTATCTCATGACAAAAATTGCAAAGAAATGTTGCCGGAACAACAGAATACCCTGAAATAACTAAGCTCCTGGAGGTAGTTGCTGGGAAGCATGGAAACCTCAGCTGCCCTCCCCTTCCATTGATATCTATGGGTTCATAGTTTTCACCATTATAAAAACACTACCCTCCCCACTCTTTTTACGAAGCACAAATAGTATACTCTAAGCTGGCAACCTAAAAGGTGGCCTTTGTCGTGACCCAGAGGTACAGTGCACACACACTGCTCTGCCTGTGTGCATCTACTCCTTCGTCCATCTTCGCACTGTTCTTAATGTCACAGTACCAGAACCTGTTGTCCTGAACAACCCTTGGCAAGCTAAAAGGTAGGTAAAACCCCCTTTTGTCAGTTGTCCAAGATATCAAAAGAAAAAGAGGCTTCTCCTCAGGACCATTTGCCTCTACTCTTATAAAATTTATTTTAAAACAGTCTTTTTTGCTTCTTATGTTGCAACTGTGTCCTTGAAATTTTTATTTTTTCGGATAAATCTAAACTGACGAAAATTTTACTAGCAAGTGTTCCTAGGGTATATACGAAAATGCCGAACCTTAGGTAATAATTACAACCAAGCACATCAAGTAGTTATGTAATAACTAGCTCGGTCATTTTTCTATGAACGCCTACAGAGTATGTGGAGCGCAAGTTTGTCCGCTTCTTTCGTAGGGGTTGTGCTGGCGTCAGAAGGCCGAGCTCTGATTGAAGGATAGTGGGTAGACCTCAGGGCAGCTGCATTGAGGTCTACCCACTATTTTTCCAACATGAGCTTATCAGACCTTGGCGTTCTAACATGTCACCGCAACCCCCTGCGAAAGAAGCAGACAAACTTGCACTTCACATTTCTTATATTGATTCTCTGGCAGTGGTATGGTCGAACCCTCGTGAGCCCTCTCAATTAATACAGATTGGTTTTCGACCCGCGATTAAAAAATGTCAGAAGACTATGAAATACAATGAGTAAAACAATTCTGTCTTACTCTGTGCAGTATTCCATCTTGCCCTGCAGTGTGACCATGATCAGCGACGCCACGCTCACCCTGAAGGAAAAAAAAAAATCCTTTTTGAGGTACGACAGCACAGCATGCAAGAGCAGGGGCTCTCAGCCAAAAGATTCGGCCGTGCACTGACCTGTCTCTCATTGAGAAGTACCGATTTGACTCCAGAGTCCTGATAAACAACAGCAGGAACGTCTTGTTCATGACCAGTTGGCCAAAGTGCCACAGCCCTTTCTCCATGTACTGCTTTTTCACTGGATCCATCTGAAAGCAAGGGTGATAATAAAGACAGTTGAGTCCAACAAAGACTGAACCCCTGGCCTTTGGTTACCCCAAGCATTTGTCGGTCCACAATATGAGCCGATAACCAAGAGCAGAGAACGCCGAGAGTTTATCAGACCACCTGCGTCTTCCATGTTCATTTTGCTAATTGGTCTCGGTAATGAGGTGCCACATCTAGCATGTTGTATGTAATGCTTAGAAGATGACTTTCCAGACAAAATTTTCTGAAATGAGGATGTGCCAGATAGAGAAAAAGTAAGCAGAACTCTATCATAGGCTGTAGATAGTTATTTATCACGGTGGCCAGAGATTAGTACTATATTACTTGTATTTTTTATACTTTAATGTAAGTAGTAAATTTCAGTGAATAAAAAGTAATCTATATAGTATTTTAATTGAAATGTCTCATCTTAGAAGTACTTTTACTGTAAATTATATAGTATTTTAATTAAAATGTCTCATCTTAGAAGTACTTTTACCGTAAATTAAAAAAAAAGCAATAGTCAGGTATTTTTGGTTGCACTTTACTATGAAATTAGTATCTGAAGTGACAAACTACAAACATGCAGGACAAATACCCCAACTCAATGCTTAATCAAAATGGGTATTACTATAGCTTTACTGAGCCCCACATGCCCTGTTTCCTAGACATCTACTAGTAGATCATCCTGGTTAAAAAAAGGCTAACGGGTTGACCAGATGATGACTGCAGTGCTGTGGCATGGACTCTCTCCCAAACATTCTGCCAAAATTAAAAGTTAGGTTGCTTGCTCGGAGATTTGGCAATTCCTGCTATTGGGAGCAACATTGCAAAGCTGACAGCACATTTCCAGCAGAGTATCCAAGTTAGCAGAAAAAAGATTAAGAAATAAAATCTAGCCTCGCTAGTATACTCGACTAATGCCACTTATCTCAGAAGAATCAGGAGAATAAGGCAAAAGGAAAATGGTCTATCACTACTAGTCACAGTGGTGATTACAGCAAAACTTGGTTGCCATTAGCAAGAAAAGCCAACAACTAACCTGCATGTCACGGAGTACAGGATGATCCTCCACATTGGGGAACAGCACCTTCATGGTGTATGCTCTGTAGTCTAAGAAAGGAATGCCTCCTGCTGTCAGGTCGCTTGTCAGGTCTGTCATCTCTGTCTGGAGCTCCGCAAACGCTGCACAACAAAGCAGGAAAAGTCCATGCTTACCATACATTAAGCCAGTGCCACACTACCTTCACACCCTCACCACCCCAAAAGCCAAGTGGGTGAAAAAGGATGTGGGTTGACTTTCAGGGTGCAACCGTTCCAAGAACTCTGAAATAAACACTCAACTTGATTTCTTGACCAGTCATCTCTACATCAGCTAGCCTAAACCATACTCTGGGTATGACATAATATGAAAAGCAAAGGAAGAGCTGTTTATTGGCACCCAAGTTATCAATAAACAGTAGCTATTTGCGTGAAAGTCAATATTGCCTGCCCCATTGCTCGAATCACCAAAACTCAAGCAGCATGATTTCAAGGAATACACGCCTTCAATGTTTTCTTTGTTTTTTGCCAAAATAAAAATATATAAGATAGAAAAAGAGGGATGGGCTTATTTGTGAGAATGTTAGGGCAACGCTTCCTGAACAGGCTTCTCAGTTTTATAAATAAATACATGTCAATAAAAATCCTGTGTTACTAAAAAAAAATGGAAATGTCCTGAGTTAATCCACAGTACAGTCAGAGCGAGGGGTTTGGGCAGTGGCCTCGTGTTCACGCTACGTGAACAAAAGTGTTCGGAACAAAATAGACATCTGTTTTGTTCCAAACGCTTTTGTACCTTTTTTTTTTTTTTTTTTTTTTGGTTCCGGAGCGTATGAAAGTGCGTCTCCCGGCACGAGCTTTTGGCATTGACAGTGCTACAACGGCATTTTGATATCGGTTATTTTCTTTTTTCTCTAGAAAGCGCTTGCAGTGGACGTTGGGTACTAAAAAAACCGTAGGTATAGAGCCGCTTGCCCAAGTATAGAGTAGCTCAGTGGTACAACGCCTCCACTTTGCATGCAGCGGACCAAGCTTTGATTTCCACGGGGCAGCGAGCAATCTTTTTAGAGGATTTGGCAACATCTACTCCGGACGGCCTACATTGCGAACTACAACATCAACGATGAAAACTGCTACAACAATGACAATAGACGTCATTTCCAGAAGTGGGAAGAGTCCATAACAGCTCTCACTGAAAAAGAATTGTAACATAATTGTCTGCTTTCCACTGCCATTTTAAGAATGTGGCGATTTTGGCTTTAGGTTACCGATATGCAGGGATGTGTCAACAATAACATTAACCCTTGCAATGCACAATTGCAAATCCTGTTTGTAGGAGGCGAGGTAGCTGGTGGTAAATTTCCACATGTAGTAATAACTCGGTTACTATAAACCACATTTCAGGTAAGTAGCCCACTACAAGATGTTCGAGGGCTTTTGTATTCGTCTTTCTTGTGAGTGACGGTTCTCAAGACACCCATCCCCCGGGTAAGATGCCTCGTGGTGTGCGGGGAAGACCCAACATCAAGAAGCCATTCGCTCACCTTCCTTGCACTCGCTGGCCACCCTCAGTTCGAGGACGTCCATCTGCTCCTGCATGGTCTTGAGCACGCGGCTGCTTTCGGTGGACTTGCGCCGGTAAGCGATCAGGATCACAATGACAATGACAATGAGCACGCCGGCCCCCACAATCACCCCGATGATAACAGACTTGGGCAGGGCGCTCTCAGGCCCTGCGGGGACGTCGTAGCTCAGGCGACCAATCATGAACTTGAGCTTGTCTCCAACCTCCACCTGGGACGGAGATTGAGCACAATGTGCATTGTAGTCCGATCAATCAGGGCGTTTTGAAGCTCTCAAACTCACTGCGACAGTTCTGAAAAGGCAACTCCAGTCAAATTTTGATGTTGAGAAAACAGCGCAGTCCTTTGTCGCATAATCTGAAGAGCCTACAGAAAAAATATTACGACGAAATTCCGTCTAAAAGTGTATTAAATCGGCCAAGAGCGGCTCCATGGTCACCAAAATCTGCCCAATCTACTGAACGACGCGCGGCACACTAAGCAGTCACCGCCGCTGTGTGGACATAGGCAACACTGCGTGGAACGTCAACAATTGGAAGAATCGTTTTGTTTGCTTCTTACTTTTCAAGACGCAGAGTGCGGGTGCGAGAGAGAAAAAGATGATGATACAGCCGACCTCTCCATACCATGTGATGTCCAGTCCTTGTTGAACAGGACCAATATCGCCTGCCGCAGGCAAGGTTTGTTTTGCTTTGCAATTTTCGTTTAAACGAGATTTGCAAGAAAACTATTTATCTTTTCGGAAAACGAATGACATAAAACCGTTTATTAGTAGTTTTGACATTATAATCATCCATAATAATAAAATTTTCAGAATTGACTGGAGTTGCCTTTTAAGAAGTGATCAAATGTACATCAACAACTTAAAAAAAAAACAGAATAGTTTTAAGCAGATTAGAGACAGGAAAACACTTTGCGTAGATATACATGCGGTTTGTTACCCAAACTTTGTCTCGGGTTTAAATTGCTCTGGGAATTGACGGCTGTTCTTATCACACATATTTAGCAAAGTAGATTGATATTTTAGTTATTTTCAGTGTTTCAACTATAAATATTTAAGCTACAGTGTTGTTCAAGCACAGGGAATGAGAAAAGGTGCAAACAAAAAAAGCTAGGAGCTATTTTATTCAACTTCTCAAGCATAGAGAGAAACGGTCGGTGAAAGTGGCAGTGCAAAGCAACATGCACTGCCTCTACAGGAAGAAGAGCGGACTCACCACAACTTGCGGGATCTGTCCTCTGTCGGGGTTCCCGTTCTTATCCTGCGCGGGAGGCTGGTCCGTTGGTGGACGACAGGTCAGTTGCACCCGAGACAGCGAAGTCACATTACAGAAGCTGGTCCCAATGCGCACAATCACATCTGACTCCTGGCACGCTCGGTCCAAGTTGTTCCCCTGCACAAGACGCACACTGAGCACCTCCAAAGACACACTCTGGCACTCACTCCTGCCTATCTCTGCTCTATGGACAATTTGGAGCAAAATTTTTATGAGCCCAATCGCGGACCGAGGCCTTACGCTTAAGCTGCTATGACATGTGGTGGATAGCATACACTAGCATGTAAGATACATGTCTTAAGGGGAGACGCCAGTCTCAAACATTTTTCTGTCATTTCTGATGTAATTCTTATTATATTTTCACATCTATCGTAAGTTATTGTGCTAACCACAAGCATAAGCTAAATTTTTCCTATCTACCTAATATAGTTTTCAAGAAAGCCCGGACTCTATCAGAAATGTTTCCGCCCGACGTTTTTACAATACCCCCATAAAAATATGTGGCACAAAGTATGTCAACATGTTCTACAAACAGTAGTGCAACAAAGCCATTGTTATAATTTCAGCATCATTCTAAAAAAAATTTATCACAAATTAAAATAGTTTTCTTGATAATAAGAAATGACTTATTGAAGTCTTTGCAAACTAAAATACTTGTAGGTAACAATTTCTAGAAATAGAAGACTAGTTACACTTCTTGATTTATGATGTATGAAACCTTTAAAAAAAGTATTCAGGTTTTAGATCCAAAGATACCTGTGGGCAAAACTTTGTGTTGTAGACGAAAAAATAAACTCCGAGAAAACAGGAAACGCTTCTCAGAACATGCTTACAACAGCTTGGATGTGAAACTTTGAATCAATGTATGTAACTACAGACCGTCTACTGTTTACAAGCATGAACCACTGCTTGCGACCCAAACGACTTCCAGTCGCTCCGTCTTTGCAAGCCCATCGAGTATGATTTAACGTCTTGGAGGAGACAAGTTGGTTCAAAAGGATATTCGAAAAATTTGAACAGATCTCGATCTTTCTGGGTTTTTTTTGGTGCTCGCCTGGAGAATTGGTGCTTAAAGGGGTAGTGAAACGAAATTTTAGCGCCGATCTTGTTGCATAAATATGGGCTAGGGACAGGCACCACCTCGGAAATATAAATATTGCGCTGTAAAACACAGGAGAACTAATTTTAAACATAATTAAATGATTTCAAATTCTCATCTGCTGGATGGGGGGAAGTTCTCGTGACATCACTTGTGCCAAAATAGCAGCGCCGTTCTGCGGCAATACGGCGTGCCGGCAGAATTCGCCTAGGCCTGAACGCGTTCGCAAAGCCTTGGCGGGGAAAGCCAAAGCGTAGTTGGCCACAGTGAGCTCGTTCTCGTTGCGGCTCTTTGCACGACACGGCCCGAGCGTGCTTCTGGCACGGCCGGTATTAGTTGCTGCGAGTCGCGAGCTGTAAGCCGACGTTAAAAAGGATATGTTTGAACTACGAGAGTGTCAGCAAGAGCCACGCAAATGCCAAATACCTGTTCACACTGGGAGCGGACACGCGCGTTTGATCGAAGTGCTGGATTCGCTCTGTTAGACCGCGTTTCGATAAGCGCTTCTGGACCGATCTTTTACGATTGCAACTCGATACTGACATGACACTCGGCAAAGAAAGGCTAGACCGACATCGCGTAGCTCCCACGAACTGCTATAGCTCGACACTGACGTAGCGTCGAGTCAGAATAAAAATGGCATACTAATAACAGAGTGTACATACCGAGTTGCCAAGGTAATCCATATGGCGTTTATTTGAGCTCTATATCACACAAAACAAGGAGATAGAATCAATGAGAGTCCCTTTTCGACGACAGCGTTCGTCACCGCTGTCTCGGAAAACAAGGAGATCGAGATGACAAGGGGAAAATATTGACCTCTGAAATTTAGTTCAGGGATCAAACTACTCATCCGGTAAGGGTCCACAAGGGTCGCGCGGGTATATTCCATTCAGCAGGCCAGCCGGTCATGGACAGACGGTCTTGGCCAAGGACCGCCGGAGCAACGGTGCGCCGAGTCGATGTTGCTGCTAGGCCTACTATATTCTGCCGAGCTCGCTCGGTCGGCAGAATCGTGGCTGTTGTAGCTCTTCTCGTGTGTTTGTGGATCCTGCGTTCTTGATCGTCGTGGTCTGTTTTAAGTACTCCTTCCTTTTTTCTTGCTGGTTGAAGTCGGGACGCACGAGAAGAGCACGTAGAAAAATAAATGTCCGTTGGTGGCCGATACCAAGTAACTGAGCGACGCTGTCGGCCTTGTTGATTTGATCGTAAAAAGTGCGTAAGACAGCTTCGGAGCTGTCGTAGGATTCTGTCGTAACCTGCGCAAAGGTTACGACAATTTCGTTTCGAGAGCACGGGTTTTCTCTCAAATTTGTCGTACGCACTTTTTTCGTCGTGAATTCGCTTTGAGAATCCGGCCTCAGAGCTGGTTTTGTCAGTGCTGCCGTGGTTGCCGACTTGCCGTGGTCCCGTGGTGCAGCGTGCGTGCAGCCCTTGCACATCTCAAACGGCCACGTTGTCACAGGTCGTAAATCGTCGACGCGCCACCAAGTGGCAACGCTCGTAACCACAACATTCACGCCGTAGCCTTTCCCGACCGGCACAAGTGACGTCACGAATGCGCCCAATATCCCAAGACGCATCGCGCTCTCCGATGCCCGATTTTTGAGCGCGCGCCCAATCGGGCCCTTCAGGGTGAAAAATATAGCCATCCGTTCAAAATACAAACGCGCGATTATGATTTATGAATATCATTGATCATATTGAACCTATTTCTGACCATAATAGGTGTATTTCAAGTTTCGCTTCAGTATCCCTTTAAATGTTTCATCGACATTTCAAGCAGTGGTGTTAAGGTGGGCTTCGTTAATTTTTTTTATGAGCCGGAAGTTTGTTGCGATGTCAAAGGCTGGAGCACTGCCTGGTGGCGTTTGCAACGAAAAGGGTCTATATAAATGTGCCAATTCCTGAGTGAAGTACTTATAAAAATGTTGTTTGAGACTTATAGATGAAGAAAAAAAAGTTCTAAAAATAACTTTTTTCTCATTTTTGTGTTTCAAGACAAGGGACTCCCCTTAATAATAATCATACATACAAAAACAATAAACACTCAATTATGATACATGCAGTGATTTTAGCCACACCACAAAATGTTTCAGCATACTCACACTTCCACATAAAGCTAGGATAAATGGTGTAAAAACCAGAAGGCATTTTACAAGCTCTAGATGCCGCATCCCACACAGACGACGAAACGCAAGCAGCGTCAAACACAATGAAAATTCCTAGAGGCCAATAAAAAAATTGAACCAAAGACAGGAGTCAACTTCTAAAAGCAAGAGACACCAACAAACAACATAGAGCGCGGGTTCTCAAATTTGGTTCCTAGGGGCACGGGGGTTGCCCTGAGCTCTCGGGAGTCCCTCAATTTCCTCGGCCGCTCCTGCCACCTCATACGACCACTCCCTAGCATGCGAATTACCATTTAGCGGACCCGTAGGCTTCTGTGCTGCTTTAAAGTTTAAATGCCCAGACTGGGAAGGGTTTGTCAATCGAGAGGGGCTAGTGGAACTAGCGGGCAACTCACGTTGATGGTGAGGTAGTCGCTCTTGTAGTACTTGACCTGGTCCCTCTCAGTAAAAGGGAAGTACTCTGGGTCTGGGAACATCTGGAAGGGCGGGAAGTCCTTGTTGGCCCACAGGTTCCGCACCTGCTCCACTGCGTCCATGCGGAAGCCGTACTCCAACTCGATCGGAGTGTCGGCGTTGCCGGCAAACGACAACTTGTCCTTGGGCACTGCGGGGCTCTTGCACTTCATCTGGTTGGCCGAGTCCGGGATGCATCTCTGCGCAAAGAACAACGCGGTCATTTGCCGCCACTCTAACCGATGCTTTGAAGGCTCCAGCATTTCTCTCGAACCCAAGTTCTCAAACTGGGTTCCCCAGACAGATGTCCCAGGGGCAAGTCAGAAATCAAAGAATTTCGCTTGGATGTAACGTAATTATGACCAAGTTGTATCCAAGTTGTATCTTAGCAGGTACAACTCGAGTTACACCTAGGCTAAAGTTGGATACTATGCCATAAACAAGTTTTGGAGTTTTTGTGTGGGCAAGATACTCACACTGTAGTGTTCTTCGCCATCGAGAGTAATGTACATCATGGGCTCTTGGACTGCATTCAGGTTACGTCCCTTGACAGTGACTGTGATGCCACCGCTGCATTCACAAAAGAAAAAGAAAATTGTAGTGTTGTGGAAATATTCAAATTTTTGAATAGCAGTTTCGAATAATGCACTTTTCGATATTAGCTTCGAGATGAACCTCATTATTCACTCTTTTCTATGTGTAGGTTGTGGTGAGCCCCATTGAGTGCTCTTCTCACCGAGCACCTGTGCGCTTTGGGAAAGAAATACCCGCAAAGCTTGCGGGCTTCGTGAGTATTGCTTCCCTGCAGTGCACAAGTGCTCGGTGAGAAGCGCACTCAACGGGTCTAACCCGCCGCAATTTATGACACTAAGTTAGGCAGCGATGCCTTTTCAACCTGCAATCATCATTCAAAACTTTTTTTCTTCTTTGTCAAATTTAAAATAGAAGAAAGAATATTGGCACAAAGCAAGCAGATTTATAAATCCCCCCTATAAGGATAGCTGTGACAAATCTGTTGTTTACTTGCCACGGTTCATGAAGTTACATTATTGAGGCTCAGAAGTGAAACAGTAAATGGCTGGGAACAACCTTCAAGAGTTCAGCTGAATTTTTGTTTAGGCATGGTGCGCGGTGGTAAAAACTTTGAGAAACAATTCAATATTTGATACAAACATATTCGGCCAAAACCACCGTTTGCTTTGAATTCGCTTCAAACTCAAAATTCGCTTTTTGCACATGCCTAAAAAATTTAAAGGTTGCTCTTCCTAGTTTTGAAGCCCTGTAGAAGTAAGAAAGAAGGCACGTGGAAAACAAAAAAAAAGCACATCAATTGCCCCACCTGGGAATTCCCCGTGGAACGCTGGAGTGCCTGGCAGAGCCAGACTCGACCTTCTCTATTTCGGGGTCGTCAACGTAGAGGTAGATGTAGTCCTCGAACTGCCGCAGTCCCCTGTCAAACTCGACGCGCACTTCACCCTTGTTGTTCGTGGAGGACTCGCTCGTGTTGCACTCCACCACATTAGGCTCCCGCCTGGAGAGCATGCGGAAAGAAAAAAAAAATGCGTTGAGGCTTGTGATGGATCAAGTTACAGAAGAGGACACAACTTGAAACATGTATACGCCTTACCATAAAACACTCCTAGGCCGCCGCCATGCTGCTGATGCTGATGCGACTGGTGCGACTCCCGTGCCCTCTATCAGCTAGAAATTTTTTGCCACTCTCTTCGAGTGTGGAAACTTGCTCCGTGCGATTCTCTACCTATGTTTTTGCGGTCTTGTATTCGAGGTTTTCCAGTCCCTCTTGAAACTTTCCACTTAATTTTTTTTATGCATGCCTCATACCCTTTCTCTGTTATCTTCCACTGTGAGAAATAGGGCTAGTAAGTGAATGCCATTCAAGCATTTCTGCTCGACATTCGCAGGAAACGAAAGAGGGGAAGGAAGTCGAACAGCCCTCGACGCGATTTTGCAAGCAATGGCAACTGTTCTCTCCCCTCCCAGAGATAATCCGCGTAGAATCCTTCGCAGTCATACCCAGAAATAGTTGTTCCGGTTAAAGTCAGTCGCGCCTGTTCCTTTGCTTCGGTGTTGGTATGAAAAAAGGAAGTTCTCCCCAAAACGAAGTCATCTTGGATTTCGTCCGATAGTCAAGATGTGACTGTCGTCGACTGTGATTGTGTTATTTGAGAACTTTCTCAAATAAATTCTTTTCAGATAACGCTACGTTGTGTGCTATGTACAATATATTGTTTCAATGTTAACACTCGCTAAATTGTATGTCTGTGTCTTGTCCATCGGTAAGCACGTTATTTGTGAGCGTGAAAAATGCATGCCTTTCAGCTATCTTCTGTTGTAAATTATTTTCGACATCTAAGCGCTTTGTCGTTTGACACGCGGCTAATCGGGCGGAGCCGTCAAAACTTATAAAAAAAGAAAAACGACAACTAATATTCCAGTTGCATTTGTTTTGTCGCGCGCATACTCAACAAAAATAGATTACATTTTCTTTTTTTAAATGTGGTACAATGCTTTTTCAATGTCATCGAGAGAACCATGAAACACAAAATACAGTGGGAAAGGACGAGAATTTAGCCGCCAGCAGTGTTTAAAACTGCGCCTACGCAGACTGCGCCTATTGAAATAACAGTCCACTTGGTTAGGGTTAGCAGGGACGCCGGTGAGAGTTTAGCCTCAAAACCAGTGAGTGGGCTTGAAAACGGTTTGTTGCCCCTGGGGTCGAGTGTTTCTTGGAAAGGTGTACAATAAGCACAAAGACCAGTCCAAAGATAAGAACCAGATACACGTCTATAAGCGTTAGCAGACATAAAATCTGATGAACCATTAACCCTCAGACTAGAGAGAAGGACGACAATAAATGAGAGGAAGAACAAGAGTCTCAAATGCAGTTTAAACAGAACTGTGTTTGATACTGTGTTTGAGACTCCTGTTTTTCTCTCCTTCATCATCGTCTTTCTTCCTAGTCTCAGGGTTATAGTTCATTATGTTTAATCATCACCAGTTGGTTTGCGCCCTAACATTCTGTTCATAAAATCTGCGTGTTCTTTCTGCGATGAGCGTGTGAACATTGGTATACCAGATTCTAACGTGCGCACAAAACAAAAAAAATTAATGCTTTTGCGGTATTTTGCCGGGGATCTGTGCATGTTGTTAAAGCATAGAAGACAAACGAATTTCCAGCATAAAAAAATAATTTTTTCCCTCTTTTTTTTTTTTTTTACATTCTTCTCACACAGGAGCCAGCTGACCACTTGACCAGTCCTTTCCAATTCTTAGACGTCTTACTGTAGTCTACATCCCAAACCTGAACAACAAGGATTGGGCAGGCAATTAAGGAACGAGCTCGGAAATGAAAAGCAGGGGCAGGGATTTCTGCTTTCTGCTTGCAGGTCGGCTTTTCGCTTCAAACACTGTCAGCCCGTTCATAAACTTCATGCCACAAACCAGTCATTTCCATGGCTGCCATTCTACGTAATATACTACATTAACATAGGGCAGCATGGCACATACAGTGGTGGTCCAGCCAGCTTTGAGTTTGGAGTAATTTTTGGAACAGACAAAATCTCGTAATGGAGCACGTTTGTATTAGAAAAAGTCGCTTTTTAGAGCAGTTTTGGAGCAGCACACATGTATGTTTGGAGCAATTCGGTGCAGTTCCCTAATGGTGATACCAGCATGCATTCGTGCGATCAGTTACGTGATGCCCTAAAAACCCAAATTTAGCAGTTATGCTGTACTATAGTTAATGACAGGTTAAGAATAAAGTGGAAGTTCCTTCCTCCTCGTTCCACTTTCGCAGAGCGAGCGCTGGAGGGGGCCTCCTCTACCGCAGTCTTTCCAGTGATGACCGGCCGCGAGCCGGGCATCATTGGAAAGACTGTGGCCATCTGCAGACCGGACGTAGCGCATCCACGGGCAGGGGTTTCGACAACCCTGCTCTAGATAGAGAGGTAAATTAGCACTATACAAAGTATTATCACGTGAAACGAGCAAATAATCAATAAAGATATTCTGGGTTTTCCAAAATGTATACACATTTTAACGAGTTGTATGATCGAGGATTAAAATTATTTGACATGAAAAAAAAGGCAACAATTCGTAATCAAGCAGTTCAGACTGAGCATGCTAACAAAATGGAAACCACGTGCGAGCACATTCCTACGAAAAGTGTCACGCTTTTGAACATGAGCAAAAAAAAAAAGAATTACTTGTGCTTGCTAATCTTCAGTAGTGCACTTCGAAATGCAGCTAAAACTGTTAAAACCGCAGTGCATTAGGTAGGTCGATAAAATTGGTGCAAACCCTTTGAAACAACGCTGCGGAGCCTGAAAACTGAATTGGATTGTGATGGCCAAATACCACTGGATTCCCACAGTTGCAAGATGAAAACGGAAACTCTTCCAAAAACCAATTCGTTTGCAGATTTGTTCGTGTTGCCGCAGTTTGGATCAATGATTCCCTTTGGGCACAGCAAGGCGCAGGCAAGCGGGAATTTATCAAAATGGCGCAACTGGACCACCCCTGTACACAGGCTTGCGGCCAAGCGAGTAGATTTATCTTCGACATTTCAAATTGCAGACTGCCAGAGGGAAAATGTAAGGTGGTGTTGAGGGGAAACTCACGTTATGATTTGACATGGCATTCCACCAACAAACGCTTCAGCATGACTGCCAGCATCCATGAACAGGCCCCAGATGAGTAGCCTCGTTCCGCCAGACTTCGGCCCCTTGCTCGGATTAATCGAGGTGATTCGCGGGTTCTGGCGGGAAACAGGGCAGGGAGAGGGAACCCCGACATTACACCAGGTACAAATGCAACGCTGCCACAAGCTAAACCCAATAAAAGCAAGACGTCCTGAAAACACATGCTACATCATGTACTACTATGTGCTATCATGTACAGAGCATATGCACACTCACCAAATCATTTTCAATTCTCATCTTGTCAAGGAAACTTATACTACATGGACAATGGCACAGTAAGGCATCTCAGTTGCTTTCAGACTAGCAGCCAGAGCTCATGCTCATGCTCAGAGCTGGACTTTCCTCCAGCTCTGAGCATGAGTCCCCAAACTGTTTAGGGGAGAACTAGCCACACATATTGGGAGTGTGCCTGTTAACTATTTCAGGTACATCTCGCGCACTCACCACGAACGAGTAGTTTTGCCTGGACTTGGCCGTGAAGTCATTGAGAACCTTGACCACGACAGGGCCCGAGATGGTTGCACTCGGGGGGCTTGTGGTTAGGTTGCGGGGGCTCTCTACCTGGCACACAATTCTGAAAAGGCAGGTCATGTCCTTAGCATCGGTGCCCAAGGACTTAAGTTTTGAAAATGCAAGCTACACATAGTATGATAATACCAGTTCCCTCTTGTTGGCTTGACATTCTCAATACAGCCAAGGTAACATATGCAACATATGTGAAACTAAAATAAATTAGCAAAGAAAAAATTATGGAAAGGTTGTGAAAGAATCAAGATGTGGTGAGAGGGAGAAAAAAATCACAGTGAAAATGGACAGGGAAAGGAGATATACACGACAGAGAGGTGCAGGAGAACTTGATGAGACCCTAATCGAGCAAGTTCAAGCAGGTCACATCATGTGACGTCATAGAACAACACCGGATGAGTGTAGGCTTTCAAATCCCAAGGTAGAAAGTCTCTAGCCTGTAGTAAAGGCCCGGAGGAGTGGTTCTCACCTAGTAGTCTTGACATACAAGTCCTTGTGGGGAATGCAGGGTATCTGGGCCAGGGACACTCCGTGCATCTCCTGGGAGACGTGGATGCCCTTCTCAATGTCGTGGAACACTCGTCCGAGGTTGTAGCCCTCAATCGTGATGTTGGTACCACCTTCCCAGGGTCCAGATGTGGGGTGGATCTGCATATTGCAGCGTTGAAAAAAAAAAAGGACATCCCTTTTCAAGATGCCTCCAAAATACTAGTCCTGGACTCTCCCAGAACCAATTATTGTCTCATAAAATCCTTGGTACACAAAGTAATATCTGGAATAACTTTTTTTCAATACTGAATAACAACAGACTGTTCTGCGACATGCATCAACTTCATGACAAATGCCGTTATTAGTCTGAGAAGGGCAGCTCATCCCCACAAACTAAACACCCCTGTTTCACAGCTTTGTCACTTGCACCTTACCATTACAAGTTAATCAAAGTTTAGCCAAAGCTTGGGGTAAATGAAATATTAAATACAATATTAAAAAAGAAAATAACCAGAATAAACACTGTCTCAAAAAGTTTTCAACAAATCCACACGGTTCAGACGAGCATTGTGACGTGCACTATAGGCATACTTCTATGAACTGTAATGAAACCATGCTGTAAGCAGAGTTAACAGAACAAAATAATAATGAGACATTTCAGGAAGCCACCAAGTCCTATGTCACTTTTGTGTCTTGGGTATAAATTTGAGGACACAGCTGTACCGAAATTGGCCTCCTCATGTGGCTCCAAATGAAAAGCAGGCCGGCTGGTTCCTCACCCGAATGACTTGCGGATCGGGACACGTCTGGGTGCGCTCCAACCACTTGGTGGCGTGCCGGTCACACTGCTCCTGCACCTTACATGAGTTGCTCTCCTGGCACCAGCCACAGGCATACTTTTCGGGAAGTTCCAGGCAGAGTCCGCAATTGGAGGACATGTTCTCGCAGCGATACACCAGCACTGCACAATACAAGGAAGAAAGGAAATGTGCCACAACAATATCGTAAGCAAAGCAAAATGGAAAAGAATGAAGGATCACATCAAATGTAAAGCAGCAATTTTCAACTGTTTCTCCTTCGCACATTGTCCAACATTGCGTGTGATTATGCAAATTCAAACTACCACGAGAGAAACTAAAACCCTGCAACAGCTGAAAACTGCTGTAAAGAATCCTTTAATGTAAATGGACAATTAATGTCTAACATGCTGAGCCCGAACAATAACACAGAAAGAGACCAAACTGCACACATTCCCCCTTTTGCCCCTTCTAAGACTCAAAATGTTACTACCTGCACCAGCTTGCTTGGATTCTAACTATCTGATGCCAACAGAAACTCTCATCTAAAACCCGTGGCCGTAGGAGGATCTCCTTGCGGTGCATGACGCACGTAATACCTCGGCTGACTAGATAGCAGTAAGCCTTGCACTGAATTGCGGCAAAGGATTGGAAGCATTTACCATGAATGTTCTCCGGGTTGTCAAGAGGCTTACTTCCCTCCCAAATGACTGCGAAGGCGGCCGTGATGTTTGGTGTGTGTGCTCCATAGTTGAACTGAGGAACAGATATGTCTCGTTAGCATATGAAAATTGCCTCTTCGAGGCACTTTGAGTTGAAAGTTGAAGGCTAAAATGGCACAATGCAATTACCTGCATGTTTTCACAGTAGATGGTATCACCCAGAAGCTGTGCGTTCACCTGTTTCACTCTGCCTTCGATGTTGAACTGGCACACGAATCTCGTAGATGCAATGAAAGGCTAAAAAAGAAAAGAAAAGAAAAGAGTTCAATTTTCTATTAGATTCAATTGTCCCTATTACTTAGCACTTCCTCAGCAAGTTGTAAAGACGTCTGAAGGTTCCTTGGTTTCTGACCTGAATGTTTTCCACTTTGACTTGGATCCTCTTGTTGATCCCCATTGGCACCAATATTTCAGTTGCAATGCCAGTGGTCGCATTTATACGGGGGCAAAATCCGGGTCCCGATCGAATGCTGGGACCAACACTCTGAAAAAGAGATAATATAGGCATTACCACTGCCACGAAGAAGGCATGCAGACTAGATGACAGGATAAGTCTATCAAAAGATGCCGTACCGAAACTCCAGTGACGAGAATGTCATTTCGACAATTTTCCCCAGTGTCATGGGTGCACCGATGACCACCAACACACCAGTCGCAAGGGAAGGGACTAGACACACACTGGGTGCATCTAGAAGAGAAAGAACAAATCAAATACTGCCGACTAGCATGAATTAAACTAACTTTAATTCATGCTAAACTAACTGTAAGCATGAAGTGAACTAACTTTATTCTGCCATCTTTTACCGCCACCTAACAACTTCTCTTTTAAACATATCACTATCCTCTCCAGCAGTGACACCATAGCAAAATTCCAGGAAAGTGCTCCCGCACGCGGAAGCAACACAGACACAAAACAATGCCAAGCATTATGAGCTTACATGCTTACATGTACAATCAAGCTGGAACAAGAAAAAGCATGCTGTGTTGTCTTCATAGTTCTAAACATCAAGCACTCTAGTCATTCCTATGGCTGAGCTGTACTCACGAGGTATAGGTGCTGCAGTCGTAAAACGTAAAGTTGGTTGCCACGAAGTCAGGGTTGCTCTTCATCCTCACGGAAAGCTTCACGGTGAAGTGGTCTGCGAGCCAGAGACGGCAGAATTGTAAGAACAAGTACAAGGGCCGCTGTGCTGGCGCCCAGCGAGAAGTAAATGCAAGAATCCATCTGGGGAGGCTTACGCTCTCCGGGAGGAATGGGCGGGAGGGAATCAGTGTGAGGAGTCGCGCAGCTGACGCCGTTCGTGGAGCGGGTTGCATTGGTCTCCAGGGTCTTGCTGAAGGCGGTGAAAGCGCAGAAGAACTGACCCTCCAGAACTGGCAGGTTGCCAATCACCAGGGTTAACTGCAATCAAAGTAAAGACATTTTTCGTAAGTCAGAAGTGACCTCGTGTATCTGGCCTAGTAAAATCTTCATCATAAGCAAAAATTTAACCAAACCCAATCATTAATTTTGATTGCCTCCAGATACGCTTCTGCATGTCACAATGCTTCACCTTCTGTTTTCATATGGGGGTTCTGCCAGAAACTTAGAGTGCAGTCAATCCCCACCCAAGAACAAAAAAGAAGTTTGGTAAAAAAAGCAGTTTATATATTCCATAAAATACTGGGGAAGTGCCCACCCAACTCTCATCAAAAATTGGGTTAATCTAGGCACGGGCACTTATCCGGTCAAATCGTTTGTGAAATGTTAATGGTGGGCACTTGATTGAAGTGGGTGCTTCCGTGATATTTTACGGTAAATGGCAGAAGATGGTGCTTATTGGCAAGAGGCAATGGTTCTGGACTTTCCTAAACTGAGTTCAGATTGCTTCAGCAACAAGTTTGTGTCAGAAAGTGTAATGAGCAACAGAGATTGCTGGGCTTACAATGCGTGCAGTTGTCCTCTGGATCTGAGCTGGCTGAACGCTGGTAATTGTGGTGCACTTGCCACTCTTGTACGACAACCAGTACAAGGGGTCCTGTGCTGCCTCGGCACAGTTGCTACGCAAGCTGCACCTGTCACGCAGAGAAACACAAAATAACAGTCAAGCAAGTTGCAGTATCGAGGAGCCCACCAATATAAAGGAAGTTACAAGGAAAGAAAGAAAAAAGAAAGTGTAACATACTTGTTTTCCAGTGAACACCATCCGCAGTAGGGATCCTGAGCGCCGAGGCAGTCTATGCAGGTCTTGTATTGATGGCATTCTTGAACCTTGACTCGGGTGACCTGAGAGCAAAAGAAACGAGAACAATTGGCAAAGTTCAAGAACAGGCCGTAAAATAACAATTGTTAGAAGAAATTGCATGTCGACGCGAAACCTACACTTTATGCCGCAATGTCTAAAAAAAAGAAAGACGAGTAAGGATGCTTACATTTTTTTGCAATGCCGAATTGGAGCGCAACTCTTGAGGAGGAGAAGGGGAGGGTACAGAGGGGAGGGTATGCCGCTCCGTACCCTCCCCTCCTCCTCGTCTGCTGCCCTCCCATTTAGTGGGAAATTTTTGCTAAATGTCCCACTAAATTTAGCGAAATTTCTTTGTTAAATTTAGCGGGGAAATATTTTCACTAAATTTATTAAAGAAACTGAATTGGTGTTAATTAAGGTCATGTGACATCAATTTCCCCGCTAAATTTAGGGAGGAAATTTAGCGAAATTTTACCGCTAAATTAAGCGTGGAAACTGAATTGGTGTTGAGGTCACGTGATGCCAATTTCCCCGCTAAACTTAGCGGGTCAAGTTTCTCCACTAAATTTAGCGGGAAAATTTCCCATAATGCAACGCGCGCGGTTACACCGACGCCACTCAATCCGGAAACGGACACCTAAAAACTGCGCTCTAAACAAAAAAAAGAGAGAGAAAAAAAAAAAAAAGCTTTGAACGAGAGACGACAAAATTCAACTCAACGTGTTCCCCGCATCGGCCGCGAATGCTTCTCCGCGGAACACGCAAGCACGACGGGAAAGCCGCCTACCGGTAGCGACTGCCATTATGTGGACGCATCCTTATTTCTATCAAAACTGCCCGGTTCGTTCGAAACGGAATCGAGACGGACTCCAGAGCGCTACGACTGCCGTTGCCAGGGGAACATTAAACCATAAAACCAGTATTAAAAAAAAAAAAAAAAAGCCAGATCACCGAACAAGACCGAACGGCCGTCGTCGCCATAGCAACGTACCGCAGGCCACCTGTGGAGAAGGAGGATGAAGGAGGAGGCAATGTGTCCGGTTTCGGCCACTGCTCTGAAAGAACCCGAAACGTGCCGAGAGTACACGGCCAGGCAGTAAAGACAAATAAAGAAGAAAACAAAAAACACAAAAATCAAATTGAAGAAACGAGTCGCCAAAGCTATGCTCCCAAAGCCTGACAAAGGGAACAGCAACGAGCGGTCCAAAAACGCGTCTGAAATGTAAAGAAAGGAAAACAAAATACACGGAGATTCTTTGAACAACGCCGCCTGTTTCTTCTCCGAAATGTGAACGAAACATCGAGAGAAAAGTAACGAGAGGCCTTAGAAATAAACAGAGCGTTTGAAGGCTCTAGTCGCGGGGATCATCACACGGTTTAAAAGAAAACACGGAGTAGGGCGTAAACAAGGGCGAAAGAAAGTGTGGGAAAGAAAGGGGAAAAAGTAAAGGGACAAAAACGATAGCACAGATACTTAAAAAGGAGGATATATATATATATATATATATATATATATATATATATAATATATATATATATATATATATATATATATATATATATATATATATATAATTTTTTTTTTTTTTCAATTCGATTTGCGACGGCGGGGAAACAGGATAGACCCATCGGCGGAGACGGACGCGACAGAGATAAACAGCGCTCCGTCCCCGGCGGAGCGAACCGAAACGGAAAGGAACGACACAATTACAAAAAGAGAGAAAGAAAGAGATCCTAAACAAAACAATTGCAGCCTTAATGACTTTCGGTTTCGCAGCAACCCATTCGTTCTACTTAATCCCGGGAATCGTTCGCGATTGTGTCGATTGACCTCTTGGATGCGTGTTGCTCTCCCAGAAACACGCGTGAATGTCGAAAATAGACCGAACCCCCAATGAATCACTAGTTCCAGTACACTGGATGAAACAACCATCCCGAACGCTTGGGCACTGGCTCTGTGCTCCCTACAATTACGATAACTTTCCTCGTGCAGTAGCTTTTATCGTTTCCATCAATTCCATTTTCCAAACGACCCTCGGCCGCTTGTGCCAAAACGCTCTCGGTTCCGCTGAGCACAGCGTTATCTTTCGTTTGTTCAACTGCACGACCCACCCGTCCCTTATCGAAGCTCGCATCCACCTACTACTCCATCCCCGTTCAAAATGACGCGTGTCCTTGTGCTTACCTTGGGCAATAAAAACAAAAATGTATACCGTTGAGGGGACTTCAGATAGGCTCGCTAATATTTTATTCTAGCTAATTATACCATTGCCTCGTTCGTCTACTATGAGAATGAAGCGGCGAATCTGAATGGAAATATTCCCAATACACCAATAAATAAAATAAAAAAAAGAATCAATACATGTAGCCAGCCTGCCTAAAAAAAAACAGCTTTGATAACTTTTTAATTGTTTACCGCCCTAATAGCTTGTAGCTAGACGCGGTACGTCCCACTACCCCGAAAGCTCCGAGATTAAATTCTAATTTAATTCTGAAGTCAAAACAAGAATGCATTTACAATTTCTCGATCAAGCATCGATTCCAGTAAGATGCGCCACGGATCGGTTTAAAGACCGTTGTGATCGAGCGAGACGACGTCACTCCGATCGATTATTCACTTCAACGGAACTGTACAGCCGTAGACAAATAACCACTCTCCGTAATGCAAAAAAAAAAAAAAGGAAAAAAAATTGTATTAGAGTTTTTCAGAAAAGGGCTCATGGCCGGTTCCGTTTACAGTGTCCGTGCGTATATGGCGCGTGATTTGCTGGCTTTCCGAAGCGACGAACATGCGCTTGGTAGGCTGAGGAGATCGCACGCTGGTCTGAGGACTTGGGAACGTTGCAATGATCTATGGTCATTGACAGAGTAAGAACCACAGGGCGTGTATTTCAAACGCACGACCTTCATTCAGCACGCGCTCCATGCCTTCCGGTCGCAGATTTGGAGCGCGAGGATTTGGTAGCACAGAACATCAAAGAGCCATTTCTCGGGAAACCTGGACGTCAGCGCACAGCTTTTGCAGCGGCGAGGACCCGAAGCACACTTGTTCCGGGAGAAGTGTGTTTCGGCGTCTCGCCGCAGCGGGGCGCCAGTCACGTGGCTCTCCACTCCTCCGTTGTCTGCCGCTCCACCTTTTCCAATTCGGCGGCCGCTTCTCGTGGCGAAACAGCGCACGCGTGCTCGGGGTGCACGAGACGTTAAAGGGTTGCTCGATGGTAGGAAACTCGTGCTGGACAACTGAAGCATGCCGTACTCACCTCGCCAATGACTATAGCTATAGTCACGTACGGGATGAGAACGGCAGGGAGGTCTCCAGCGCAAGCTTTCTATAGCTCCGATAACACACGAACGTCTCGTGAGCTGCGCGCGCGCGCAGTCAAAGCGCAGCGGACAGCATGGAGCGCGTGCTGGAAGCCAGGCGTTCAAAAGACACGCCCTGTGATTCTTACTCTGTCACCGACTGTGTAGGGTGTATTCACAGACGCTCACAGCTGCGCGCAATGCCACTTTAGCCGTGCCAACAGAAAGGTTCGTGGCAGAAGATTGGCTCCACCACGCAACTCGCGTTATACCGAGCAGCAGTCTCTTCGGAGAGCTTGTCTGGCGACTGAATAGCGTCGTTGAACACGACACAAAGGTTATCCGACATGGGTTCGAGCATCACCGAGGACAACATTAATGGAGTAATTGTGGGAAAACGGCGTAAGCTCTTACAGAGAGAGCTACGTTATAGCGGTCCTCAAAGGGGTACGGAATCGAAACTTGAAATATCCTCGAAACGCTTCGAAACGGGTGAAATATCATCCACGATATCCGTAAGTAATAGTAACACGCTCGTATTTTCAGCGGATGGCAGTATTTTTCGTTCCAACCGACGGATTCTGGCGAGTGGCTTCAAAACCAGCCATCGAGGCAGCGCGATCCGTCTCGGGATATTTGCCCGTGACGAAACGCTGGCAACTTCACGGACCCAGAAACAGCCTGCAGGGTACACCATAATCACGATCGACGTCAACTGGAGGCGCCAGCTTTATCGTCAATGCGTTACAATCCCCCCCAGTGGGAATGGTGTACTGGGCGCCGCTCGTTCCCGGTGCTATTAATGGGTTCGTGACGTCAGACATCCAACGAAGCTCGGCCCCCCAACTACCAGGTGGTATTAGGACATCGTTTTATTCTCTTTAAAAATTGCTTTTCTTGCGTTTACAAACGAAAGACTGGTGTTTCTGAGCTGCTGTCGTAAAAGAGACCACGCCTACACGAAGAAATAGGCGCTAGAATATCACTTGTGTAGCCCTTTAAACTATACGCACGCAGAAGACCGAATATCGCCTGCTAAAAATAAACGACTAATTGGCGAATTGAGTTAGGCTGTTTCTTTTTAACTGGACGAAGATGCGCGCCCCGTAGACAGCTAACTCCGAATAATTTGCGGAGTGATGTACGGAAAGTTTAGCGGTTTACGTCCCAAACAGACAGAGAGCACGAGGTATACGTTGCAGTAGAGTGTTAGACCACCAGGTGTCGGGAGCGTAACTCGGTGTCGAGTAACGCCAAGCGGGGACAGAAGGCACACGTACACTCCTCAAAAGCCACAATTTCATCTCCACCTTCATCACCGTCACCACCAATAATCGTGATCGTTCTGACAAGACGCCGACGGACTGCAGCAGGCTCATGACGAGATAAGTTCGTGGTCTGGAGCTGGGCGTGGAACATTTGCGAGCAGTTATGTTGGAACTCGGCCTTATTCACCGTACAAAACGCGGCGGGAGAAAAGAAGAGACACCGGGAGGGATACGTGAGACCTGTGCGTTCGTTTGTATAGGCAAAGCACAACGAAGGAACGAGGACCCCATCCGGGCTTGTGCGTCGATCGAAGATATTTCCTCTTTCGCTGACACTCCACTTCAGAACCAGCGACCGGCTGGCGCACTAACCTCAAATCGGAAAGCGAAGTAAAATAAATAAATAAATAAATAAATAAATAAGTAAATAAACAAGTATAATGACACAATGAAACTAGCGGAAACCAGAC